GCAAAACCCTACCTGGCAGCCTCACAGTCCGCTGCTCTTTCTTCTAGGATTCCAGAAATCTTCACACAGGCCTCCACGCAGAACGCGCTTGAGCATTCTCCGTTTATGCGTGTTCTTGCCAAGAGTGAGCCCGTAAGAGCAGGAACGAGGTCGGATCCATTTCTACTTCCTGACCGGGCACAGAGCCCGGCACTTCCCGGTGTGCAATGTTTCTGGAATATCAGGTCTGTGGACTCAGAGCCACTTTTTGATCACCACTGCGGCTCCTGCATCATCCCGCCTCCTCCATTCGCCCATGACTTCTGACCTCTCTCTCCCCCGTCACGTGGCCAAGCAAAGCGCCGGCGCAGGCCTCCCATCACCTGCACAGACAACTTCCCAGTCTGCACCACACCAGCCACACCGAGCGTCATTGAAGAGTACAGTTTATTAATACACAGATGGGTCACGCCAAAGGGCGCCAGTCTATGGGTTACACCGTGGAAAACAGTAGAAAAAATCAGTGAGGCAGAAAATTCAAGAGAAGCAACTACAAAATGGGGTAAGTGGACTGAAAACTTGTATTTTCATAAAACTTTAACTTTATGAATTAAATACATTGAGAAACACAGTAAAAATATATTTACAGTCATTTAAAATGGGCACTAACAACATACTTAATTTAAAAAATCTTTCCTGTTTCTTTGCCTGTTTCTTTCAAAGAGAATTTTAAATATGACTTTAGTTTTTAAAAAATACAATAAGGAAATAATTACATTCTTAATATGAAAACATTTTACAACTTATAGCCATGGTCAATTCTGAATATCTATAATTTAAACGTTGATGTTAAAATTTAAAGTGAATATTTCCTTTCTCACTAGAAAGTCAAATAGAAGGATTATCTTATTAAAAACACCTTTGGTCCCTAAGAATTATGATCTGAAAATCCCATTTCAACAATCGCTCCCATGGCTACAACTCAAAATACCTGATAACACCTGCGCACGGCAGCGTTGAGCTCTCTGGAAGACCATGGCTGGAAATACTTCTAAATATGAGCAACAGATGCCTCTACAGCCAAAATGTCCTGGGTGTAAAGTTTTCTTTCCTTTAAAAATGGCAAGTTGTCTTGCCATGGCTTGGATGCCACAAATAGAGGTGGTTTTGCTTTTTCCACGATGCTGTCTGTGCCAGGTGTATTGACGGCATCAAAGTTTTAGTTTATTTATTTTTAGTTATTTCACAGTATGAACCCAGGCCACTATGGGGATGATAATAAGAAAGTATTAATAATAACAACAGGAACAAAAAGACCACCCTCTTTAAAACTATGTCATGAATTTGAAATTGTTGTTCCCATTAAAATATTATTTTAGAAAGAGAAAAGAGGAAGGCAGAAGTTTAACATTTAAATGTTGCCATGACCTTTATATAAATCGAGGAGCATCTTGTCTGCTGACGCTGATGCCATAGAAACTTCCGTGTTGTGCTCCTGGGAAAGGCTATTTATAAGGATCAACACCTGCTTGGCTGCAGGGCCCACCTGTGAGCTCAGGGTGTCAGCCCCGGGGCTGCACGAGGCACAGGTGCCAGCTGCAGATGAAGCCACATCCCTTTTCTCTGGGCAGGAGGCCCTGCCCGTCCCTGGGAGGTCTCTAATGACATGAGTTGGTGCATAAACGGGGAATATTGCCTGGGGAGCAAGGGCTGTGGGCAGAGCTTACATTCCCCCTAAGAGCAGGTTAGCAGAGTCAATTGTCTTTTCCGGAAAGGTAAGATGTGACCATAAACAAATGATTTTTGCCCACAGCTCCTACCCCCAACCCTAGCTTCAAAGCTGTCCTTTGGAAACAAAGGACAAACTCCAAATTGCAGCCACAATGACAGCGAATCTGCCACTTCTTCCCAGAGGTGGCCTGCAGAGCAGACGACACATGATTTTTGAAACAGACTTTTTAGAAAAGTGACAAATCTTCACCATATCAGAGCAGTTTGGCTATTTGGAAATAGCCAAAAATAACTTGGGGACAAGATGAATAAAGGGGAGATCAGGCTGGCAACACCAAGGCGTAGGCACAGAAGGGACGAGACAGGTTCAACTGTGCGGCTGGTGAACGGCCACTGGTCAGTCCCAAGAGAAGGGCTCTGGAAGGGCTCATGGACAGGGGCCCACGCCCCTCCGTGGGGCAGTCTGGCCGATCTGCAGAGCCTCGCGGGTCTCCCAGCAGTGGTGCCGCAGGCCCCTCTGGTGTGGACAGAGCCGTCCACGCCCAAGCCCCCACAGAATCTGGCCAGAGGGAACGTGACGGTCCACACCTGTGCCCAAGGGGGGACCAAAGCGAGCCCTTTAACCATCAGAGTTGTTTCTATGAAAAAGGTTCGTTAGTGAATTAAAAACATTACAAAAATATAAAAAGGAAGGGATTTGAAGGTTGATGACACCTTACGAAAATACAGCCAAAAGCAGGACCCTGAGGAAGGGCCCCGGCACCCGCAGAGGTCGGCCCTCTCACCTGAGTGTCCTCCATCCAGCCCCAGCCGTGCGGCCGCAACGCTCCTCACAATCTGGTCAGCGTCCCAGCACAGCGGCCAGCACTCTGTGGACCTGACTGTCTGCTAAAGTGACGGGAGATGTCGCAAAGAAACCTGACTTCTCCCGGGGCAACCTGTACCTCGCAGCCAAGCGCAAGTGCGCCCTTCCCCACTGGCCTGGCTTCCTTGCGGAATGGACAGCCACACTCACAGCTGCTCCAGAAGCAGGGAGTGCTCGTTCCTGGGGCACGTGTTGGGAGGGCAGTAAAATGAGATCACTGTCAGAATTCTGTGTGTGTCTAATATGTACAGATATAAATTAAAAACTATATTTATTGAACATATACAAATAAATAACTTATTTTGAAGCAAATGCTTTAAACTAATTTTCTGATCAAATCTGGAAATGTCGAGGGGAACATCTAACACCAGGGAGCCCGATGTCAGCGCCTCGCCTCCCACAGGACCCAATTACAGCAGTTCATGGAACATGAAGGGTTCACTTGATTTTGCTGTCCTTTTCAAAAGGCTCATGACCATGAAAGTGATTTACAAACCTGGGTTTTTAAAACAAAATACATATGCTGGGAGTCTGGCACCAACCCCCTGTGTCCTTGGGCAAGACACTCCCAGAGCTGCAGGGTCTCCATTCGCAAAGTGGCCACGCCAGCCAGGGCGGCAGCTGAGGTCCACATGTTTGGCTTGACGCTACGCCAGTGTTTCACCCACCAGCCTTTGATGCCCACCTGTGCTGGGCCAAGACTAAGAATTCAGGCTGGTCGTTGTTTCCCTTCTTTTAATAACAATCAACACCTGGCACAGCTCTCTTGGGCAAAGAAGGCTGCCGATCTGAATGGCCCAAGAGCCTTAATTTGGAAAACTTTATTTGACCCGAGGGCAGCAAAAATCTATGGTAGATCAAACTTTTTTCTCTTTATAGAAAATTCGTTTCATATGATACGAAGCGGTTACGGCTTCCTATGATGAAAAGAAAAATCCCCACTGAGGAAGGGGCTCCTCCTGGCCATGCTGGGGACAGGCTGATGCATCTGGGAAGCTCTTGCCCTCCCTGCCTGCCCACCTGGAGTTCCTGGGGGAAGCTGACGAGCTCACTGCTGTGTGATGTGCCTCGTGGATAACTGGGAAGGAAGGGGCGGCAGAGTGAGGACGCCAGTTGGTAGCTCATGAACCAAAAATGCTCTTGGCAGATGGCTTTGCAATAAATTCAAGTTTTGGGCGGACTCAAGCTATGCAGCTTCCAACTCTTGCTATGAAACTTTCATACACTGGAGACAACTTTCCTGCTCTAGTAAGTAAAATCAAACACAGCTCTTGCAGGGCTCGAGCACCGTGACATTATACAGTAATCCAACCGGTACAGGCTATGGACGACAGGCTGGGCCCACGCTGTGCTCCAGGGAGGACTCGGGGAGGCTGTGTTTTCCTGCCACCTCTTCCTATATTTGATAAGAAGAACATTCTGGATGGTGGATGAAAGGTTTGCAGCAGGAGCAGCATCACTATAGTGCTACAGTCTCACATATGCTATGACGGGTCCCCGTGGCTCAGTCTGCAGAGGGGTTCTGCGGACACAGACTTTTATTCCCCCATCAGTGGCTGCACCTTTCCACACAGGAGTGTCCCAACAGCGGCCCTCTGAAGACCAAGAAGTTAGTCTGATTCTTAGACCTACAGGGTAGAAACCAGCTGTGAACTCTTTCTCTCTATGCCTCAGGCATCTGAACTCGCCAGAAATATTGCACAGAAGGTGAGCAAGAAAGCCACCAACGAGGCCCGCCCAGGCTGCCGTGCTCAGGAAGAACAGCAGGCTGAGCCCACGGACCCGCTCGTGGCTTAATGTACAAACTGGAGAGAGGGGGTGGGGAGGGGAGAGAAGCCCTCAAAGGCCCATCTCTTGCTCCAAGATGGCATCATTCTACAACTGAACAAGTTCCAGAACTTGCTTCCTTTTCAAAGGACTGCTCCCGCCCCATGCATCAGTAAATGCCCTGGAAATAGACCACGAGCCGAACCTCACCTCACCGCTGCCGCTGCCCGGTTCTCAGGAGCACCTTGCCGCCGTGCAGTGGCCACGGCGGGGAGCAGGGCACGCCAGTGAAGTGTTACACACACTCTGCTGCCTTTCAAAAGCAGCGCAAATAATTAAAAAGACACAAAATCTCTGGAAAATCCTTAGATCTAACTGCGACACACAGTACAAAGAGACATTTTTTAAAAAACAGGTTAAAAAGAATGGCAGCTTTTCACCCCCGGTGACAAAAGCATCTGTCCACAAAAAAAAAAAAAAAAAAAAGAAAATTAAAGAGTAAAAAATGCGTCACAGCACAGTTTTCTCCTGCCTTCACCTCTTGTGAGAAGGGGGAGGGCTACGTGACCCCGACCTCCTGGCAGACGTGCAGGCGTGCTCAGCGCCCACGCGCCACTCACGCTCACACCCAGAGCATCGGGGTCCACGCTCTGCCACAGCTCCCCCAGGGCTTCATCTGGGCTCACGAATCCATCTGTCTTCAGCCGGGGCCGGGTCAAAGCTGGTTAAAGCAATCGTGTAACAGGTTAGGAAGACGCAGCTTCTCTGCCTAACATAGGTCCTTTTACAATACCTTTTCATCTCTTTCTGGGTCTGTTTGTAACAAAGTTGGAAACTAAGTCTTACGAGTACATTTTTTAAAGGGCACCAATATACAGTAGAAAGAAGACACGTGAGCCGGGGTCAGGGTGCTGGTCTCTAAACTCGTCACGCTGCCAGGGCTTCCTGCGGTCGCACAGGTGGGGACTCCGGGTGAGGGGTGAGCAGTCCCTGACTGCAGCTGCAGCAGCCGTGCCTGTCCTTATGTCCCGTTCTTCAATTCCCATTCCTAGAGAAAAGGAGAGTTGTATGAGTCCAAACAGCAAGACATCAGCTGACACGCGTCATGCCACATCCCCCCAGCAGTGGGCTCAGGCGGCGCGGGGGCTTGGCTGCTGCCGAAAGTAGTGCGGTGGTTCTCGAACAGTAAGCACAGAATTCATACCACATGGCCCAGCAGTTCCAATTCTAGGTGTTGACACAAGAGAATTGAAAGCGGGGTCTGAAGCAGATATTTGCACACCGATGTTCACAGCAGCACTATTCGTACCAGCTAAAAGATGCAAACAAAGTCCATCAATGGATGAACGGATAAACACAAATGTAGTGTACACATACGGTAGAATAACTATCATTCAGCCTTAAAAAGGAAGCAAATTCTGACCCGCTACAACACAGATGAACCTTAAGGCCATTTGTGCTCTTGAAGCAAGCCAGTCACAAAAGAATAAATCCTGTAGGATTCTACTTATTCGAGGTCCCTAGAGGAGTCAAACTCACAGAAAGTAGATGGTGGGTACCAGGGGCTGGGGCCAAAGCTGGGACAAAACCCACCTGCTCCACAGCAGGGCCAGCCCACCTCCACTCTGCGCTGCTGCCTCCAGAACAGGCCGCGCTGGCTTCTGTACTTGGTCCTCTCTGACCGGTGCCCACGCCCGCCCTCCACCCTGCATCCCTTGGCAGACTCCTACACACCCTGAGGACCAGGCTCCAGAGCCCTCTGCCCTGTGCAGCCCCCAGCCCTGCTCTGGGAGGACATGTCACCATCTGTGCGCTACTTCTGTGTGTTCTTCCACACACTCTATTATCACGGTTGATTTAGTTGCCACCTCCCTCCTGGACACATGCACTCAAGGGGAGGGCTCCTCCGCCTCTTTTCCCCCATCTGCTCATCATGGGGCCCACAGCACCCAGGGCAGCAGCACAGAAGATGCAGGAGCCTGGGTCACTGGAGCTACGTGGATCTGAAGTGCGGCTTTTCCCCGAGATTTAGTTCTAGAAGGGGGTGCAGGAGAGCAGACCCAGCTGAGAGTGGCAGCACACACCATGGAGGACAAAGCCTGTCCTTCCCTCTAGTCGGTGGCTCAGGAGGAGCGGAGGGCACAGGCGTTAGACCCAGGCCTCTGTGACTCAGCCGCTGTGGGGTCTTGGAGAGGCCACTCAATCTGAGCCTTAGAACAATGTGAGTCCCACCAAGGACTTCAAAGCTTCCAAAGCACTGACAGGAAGACCAAAGGAGAAACCGCATGCGAGGTCCCCAGCACAGAGCCGCACACCTCAGGCCTGGCCTCCAAACGGGGCATCCTCCTCTGCACACAGTGACCCTGGTCTGATACATGTCTGACTCCCACTGTGTCTCCAGGGCCTTATTAACTGGGTCACATATCTCTGCATGCTGTATGCAATTAAAAATTTCTCACGTTTTCCAGAATCAGAAGTTCATGTTTAATTAAAGGTTAAATGTATGGCATTAGTAAATTCAGCAGAAACCAAGACCAAAACTGAGCTACGCTTAAGGATAATAAAAACGTGCGTGAGGCGCTCTCAGGCACTTGGCTGAAGCGTTCTGCAAAAGGAGGACGCACCTCCACCTTCCCAGCCTGCCACAGCCTCCCTGAGACAACTGTACGGGCCACTATAAACAGAGAAGGTGTCCAGAGGACGAAGCTATGAGGTCAGCACTGACAGGCACTGATTTACTACCAGGCCATGGAGGTTTCAGAGAAAAGACAGATTTACACATTATCTACAGATACTGCCAAGTGTATTTAGCAAACAAGCTCAGCAAACTGGATGACATTTCAGAGTACAGGTCACACTGGCCACAGACCTGGGAGTGACAGGACGAGAACTCCTGGACACTGCCGAACCTGAGCAGGGCGGGAAGCAGAGTCCCCAGTTGTGCATGTCGCTAGAGGGCAGGCCAGCACTTGTCCCCCTGGGCACCTCTGAAGCAGGACCAGTGTCCCCACACCTAGTGTCTTTCCCAGACAGAGGGAAGGGAAATGGCTTCGCTCTGGGCCCTGTGGCCTGTTCGGAACCCCCTTCTGAACTAAGAAACCCTGTGGCATGTGATGAGAAGCCATCTGACTTACCAAAGAGCTCCCTCCCAGGCTCAGAGCATCTTCATCAAGAGTTGGAAGTGATTTTAGGAATATTGCACCTGGGATAATACTTCCCACAGTATTATTGGAGTAAGTCAGACTCCCCGGTGCTCAGGAGAAGGCTGGGTGGCAGATGAGACCATGTCTGTGATACACCCCAAGTGCACTAATGTGCTCCGGGCCAAAGGCCACAGCACCACCCCCACCTCCAGCCGTGGGTCCCTTGCCACTGTTCTCACAAGTCGTGGGAAACCCTGCTCAAGACCATTTTTTTAGTGAGGCTGTGCACAAGATTCCCGGCTGGATCGACCAGTGCTGCTTCCACGGTGTTTTCCAGGCCTGTGTGCATGGACAGCTGTTGAGATTTCCCTCCCTGCGTGTGTATCGGCCTGGCGGCTGGCCGGGATCACACGCTTTTCGTTTATCAGGAATGAGCAGCAGGGAAGGAGGTCACCGCCAGAGCCTCAGCACAGTGACAGCACACACCTCGAATGCAACCCTTTCAAAGGCTGGAGTCACATAATTTTAAGTCCAATTTCTTTGATGGTAAAGAAACCAAGTAAATGAAATGCTTTTACTGCACTTCTCATCTGCAAGTCACAAGTGGGACTTTATTGGGCAACACATATTCCCCTCAAAGGAGCCTAACGATTACAGACCGAGAGCAGTGGAGGACGCTAAGAAAGCAGTGGGAACAAGACACGATGCTTCCTCCTGTCCCCAGACTGACCGACATGCGTCTCCAGTAACACGCGTCTGCCCTGGGGGCCAGCTACTCTAGGGTGCTGTGGAAAAACACGGTTCTCAGGCCCCTCCGTGAACACCCCCGAGCACGCAGCAAGTGGCCCACACCCACGTTCTGGTCTCACACTGGCCACCCTCCAGGAAGTGTATATTCCCAGCCAACCTGGAAAGGCTCCCAAAAGCTGCCAGAGAAAAGTAATGCCAGCAACTAGAGCAGCCACGGAGATGGTGCAGGGCGGGCGTCCAGCCTCCTCGTTAATCAGAGCGCACGAAATTCATCTGCTCGTGCCACCACACCCAGTGTGGTCTTTACGCAGAGGACACTCTCAGCTGCTGCAGTGAAGACCCGTTTGCTTTGATAAACTAGAAATTGTGTATAAAATTTCTGAGATCTTTAAGTTTAGCAACAAAGATGGATACTGGCTAATCCCGTGAGAAGATAGGAGATACCACAGATGGAGTGCGGAGGCTTCCTACGACACCCTGGGATCCCAGATTCGGGATCTGGGGGGACGCTGGGGAGGAGAACAGAGCAGAGTTTATTCCTGGACCTTTTTTTCGTTCTTTTTTTGTTTTAAAGAATCCTACGTCTAAGTGCTGCAAAGGACCTCAGTGGTCACCCAGCCCAGTCTCTACACCACCAACGAGAAACAGGTCCACATGAGTCCAGAGTCCTGCCCGTTTCTGAGACGAGACCCAGAGCGGCCGTTTTCCCAACGCTGAATGGCAAACTCCTCCAAGGCAAGGTTCGGGTCTTTTTTTTTGTCTTTTTTTTCCTAAAGGAGGGTCTGATGGGCAGTGGGAAGTCACTCAGGGCTCACCCCAGGACGTGTAACTGAAGCCGAATGTGAAGAAAACAGGAGGACAAACTTGGCTTGGACAAAGTGGACTGGGACGCCGCACCACCGGGGGCAGCGCCGAGAGGAAGCCGGACTCACCTTGGCCTTGCGCAGCACGTGCCCGCGGCAGGGGGAGCTGCCCGGGGCCGGCTGGCTCCGCTTCAGGACCGCTGCACTGTTCACCGGCACGGGGCCCTCTGCGTCACTCGTGTCACAGCTGGAGATGGGCGAGTTCTCCAGAGTCCGATGCCGAAACACCGGGGACTATTGACAAAGAGGAAAAACCCTGCGTGAGAAATGGTTTCTGGGCCACCAGAATTTTCCAGCAGGAAAATGGTTTATTTTAAAGAAGAAACGTGTTTTGGAAATGAGTAAAAGTAACAACAAGGACAACTGCAATAGTCCGTGCCTAATTTTAGAGCACCTTAAGACCCCACTTCAGGGACAGGAAGGCTGAGGCTGGGAGAGGGCTCTGGCTTGCTGGCCATGGCCGGGAAGTGAGGGTGGGATTCGTGTCCGTGCCTTCTGCATGCAAAGCTGGGCTCTTCCACTCAGATCGTGTGGCCTCTGCTTTGTGCCCCTTGGTGGTGCTCTGCAGTGTTCAGGGCTGTTCTGTGGGTCGGCTGCCCTGAGACACCCTGGCAGCGAAGCCCCTGGAGACCGGGCCCAGCACCCCGCGCGCAGCTTGCTGGAGCAGCGCAGGCCTGATTACACTGAGCGTTCCTGACTATTCACAGCAGTTTGCGTGTTTTAAAGAATCATACATCTAAGAATCATACATGTGCCAAAGGAAGAAGCTTTCTGGAAGGCTTAAAACAGAGTGAAGCATACCCTTGGTTGCCAAGGCCCCCATATTTGGCTCTTCCATGTGGGAGTACAAACTGCTTTTTGGGGAAAATGTCCGCAGTCTGCTGCACCTCCTCAAATGAGTCTCCAAAGAATAAACTCTTCCTATTGTTACTGCCAAAATGTGTAACGTGAAAATTACCACTCGGGGTATGCAGAACATTGTTTTAGGAGACCCATGGTTCAATTACAATTAAAATAGGTGACTTGGGGTCCCCGTGGGGGTTTACTGGCCTCAGATCCCCAAGCAAAGAACTTCTACCTATGTTCCAGCTGTCCTTGGAAATGCTTGTAAGAGGCAGCACTGCCTGGAGGGGTGGGGGGAGCAGTGGCTGGTGAACAGGCAGAAGAAGGACCACTCTGGACATCGTCTCTGGGGGAGACCAGGAAAGTGGCACGTGACCCGCACCTGGAGGGTCTCCCTAACAGGCCACTCTTCCAAGGGTGTGGCCTGGGTGGCGCTGATGCAGAATGCTCCACGGGTGCTGGGGCAGACGATGGTAACCAGAGTCCATCGAGGGACCCTCGTGAGAGACAAAGCCCCAGAGCACTCTGGGCTGGGACGGGGGGAGCTGGGACAGCCTCTAAGGATGGGCTCGGACCACATGGGTAAAGGGAGGCCTGTGGGGCCAGGGGCCAGCAGAGGGACCGCAGGGACCTGGAGAATACGGGGTCACTGCAGATGAGGAAGGCAGCAGCTAGGCCAAAAGGGACGAGGACAGGAGAGCATGGAGGACCACAACACCCATTGGGCTTGAAGACTGGAGGTCACCTTGACGAAAGCAGGCATGGCGAGAGGTCAGACTGCAGCCGGTGGAGACGTGAGTGGGACGAGAGCTTGCGGAGGCGCAGTGTGGAAGGGAGGCAAGAAACACAGGGCAACCGGCAGCCGCTGACAGCGGGGGCAGGGGCTGGGGGCAGAAGCTGCGTTTTAAGGATGGAACAAACTAGAGGATCTTTAAATGCTCTGAAGGAAGCTAACAGAGAGAAAAAAGTCAAAGATACAGGAGAAGGATCCTCACAGGTGTCTGGAAGCCAGCACAGAGGCACCTAGGCCTCGACAGGACCCTGGCCACAGCCAGGAAAGCCCGAGGACAGAGACAGGCAGTAGTTTAAAGAATCACACATCTAAGAATCATACATGTGCCAAAGGAAGAGGCTTTCTGGAAGGCTTGAAACAGAACAAAATGTACCCTCGGCTGCCAAGGCCCCCATATTTGGCTCTTCCCTGCCATCATCCCGATGTGGGACAAGCAGCTCCTGGAGGCCTCGTGCCCTCCTGCCTCCGATCATCACAGGCGCGAGTCACAAGGGAAGCCCACCCCACCCCACGCCGGCGATGCCCCCAGCTACTGCCACTCTCCAACTGCAGCAGACCTCATCATGCCCTTGTCCCCTTTCTGTCAGACGCCGACAAGCCCAGGACTCCGAGTCACCCCCAGCCCTCGGATTCTAATTCCCACTGCGTCCAGCCCTCCTGGCCCTGCCAACACCTGACATAAGTGCATTTGACAGGCGTCTCCCCTCACCGAACCCGAGCTCCGCAACCGGCATTCACACATCGTGGCACAGAAGGAACACAGCATGTCATACATGCATACGCATGCACACGTTTATATATATATGTTATATTTAATATATAAGTATCTATAATTATTGAATAAATTCTATGTAATTCTTAATATACATAGGATGGTAATATGTAATCATATATAATATATAATTGTCAAATGAATGTAGTGCATGAATGAATATGTATGTGTTAAGGAATACATGAATGAACCCCCCCCCCCCACACACACACACACACACACACACACACACACACACATGCTCCGGCTGGGCCCTGTGCCGAGAGCTTTTGCACACATGATCCCGTGCAGCAGGCAGTAGCTTTATCTCCACTTTACAGATGCAGAAACGAGAGCCCAGCGAAGCTAAGTGACTTCAAACCCTGGCCCGTGTGACCCCAGAGCTTGCTCTCCTAGACGCTGCACCCTGCTCCGGCTGAGAGAACCACAGCACAGCTGGTGACAGGGCAGTGACCCGGCCACCTGAACGAGCTCTGCCAAGCAGGAGGCAGCCTGTCTTCTGGGGAGGAGGGGGGAATAAAGTGATGAGGGCTGGATTTCAGGGGCGCCGTAAATCCCTAAATCCCCCCAGAGCTCATGTGGATTCATTCAAATTCAGTGTTTGGCCCAGTGGCCTGGAAAGAAGGACCCGGAACAAGAGCATGCAGGACGCAGACGCACGGGGACGGGGGTGCCCTGCCGTGTTTCAGCTGAAGCAAGAACCAAAGTCAGGCCACCCCTCCCCAGCTTCTGCTCTTGTAGGTGAGTTTACGTCTCTGGGCTTCAAGTTCCCCATCTGTAAAACGGGAGGAATAACATGACTCGCGGACAGGAGATTCAATGGGACAATCAAGTGGAAAGACGACAGGAAGTTCTCAGTGACGATCAGCTGAATGTGAGGGAAGAAGAAGCCATTTAAGGTGATGATTCACGCTGGGAAAATGATCTCCCCGTGTCTTCCTGGACTCTGAGAGGACACGACTGTGTTCATTCACTTCGGTTTCCCCAGCACCTGGCTTGATTCTTAGTACATGCTGGAGACTGTATTAAATGTGCTACATTGAATTAAATTTCCTAATAAATTGCATCAAATTAGGCCCGGTTCCAAAGAGACACAAGAACTGGACCTGCTACAATCGGATTGTGTGAACGGAAAGAAATACACAGCGCTGCCCTCGCCTTTTAAGGATTTCAGTGAAGGAGATAAGAAGACGTCACGTTGAGAACATGGAAACTGGACAATGACAGTGTGTGACGCGCATGCGTGAACACGCCTGTACAGTTAGTGCTGAGGGACAGTGAGCCGCTACGTCAGAGCACCACCCGGCGCCTTCTCTGTCATCCAGGCCCTGCGGCCTCTGAGGTGAGCGGCAGGACGCTTACCTGTGGGCTTGACGTCCCCGATTTGGGCTCGATGGCCAGCCCCAGGGTGACTCCGCCTGCCAGCGCCTTCTTCAGGCTCTCCTTGACCTCCGTCAGTTCCAGCTCCAGGTTGACGCGCTCCGACTCCTTCTGCCGACACTCCTCCTCCAGCCTCTTCAACTTGTCCTCCAGCACCACCTGGGTCTTCCTGCCTAAAACCCCAAAGAACATGCTCCAGGGGCGGGCAAAGACTTTCACAACAGTAGAGGAGAGGACACCTGCCCCCCAACCAAGGGTTTCTATGAAATGTTTCAGGGTGTGCTCCCCTGACGTAGGTTCTTTCTACAAAACTTGGACCCAGCTGACCTTTAAAGGACCAGAGTCCTTCCCCACTCACCTTTCTTTGCTGCCTCTGGAGGACACGAGCAGGAAACAGGAGACCCTGATTCTTACAAATCCCAGGAACTCCTGGGTCTGGGCCTCAATGCACTCACTTAAAAATGTGGACTTCAAATTGTACGGCTCCCAAAGGTGCCATTGCCCTAGCGAGTCTTACTACTGTTCTTTTCTTACGCTTCCAGTGTGGTTATTGAGTCATCTTATTTGCCCCTGTGGCAGCAAACACCAGTACCGCCTGCTTCTCTTCCGGACACGGCATACACTTCTTTAAGCACATTTGCTTTATTTATTTTATTTGAGCAGTGGGCAGATGAGAAAACCAGTCCAAGAGGGGAACAGACTTGTGCTGGGGCCCAGGCTGGAGCTGGCCAGCACTTGAGTTTGTCTTTTTCAAGGCCAAAGCTCCCCCAACCTTTCTGCGTCTTCACCACCCTGTAAGCTTGGAGTGACAGAAGCAGGAAATCCTACTTCTGGCTCGTTAAGCTCAATGCCCCGTCCCATTCTTGGACTTCAATCCCTCCAGGGCAGCCCCACACTGCTGTCACATCCTGCTTCCTCCTGCAGGGTCGGGCTGATCCACTCAGCACACACCTGTCCTCCCAACCGTTAAGCTCCAGAACCACGTCCTTCCGTTGTAATCACTTAGGTTTGCAGTCAAGAAAGGCTCAAGCTGCAATTAACTGCTCACTGTGCACACACCTCAGTCCTCCATGCGTGGTTAAGACACTTTTCAACCTCCCAGTCCCCTGCAGCATCTGCATTCCACTGTCTCTCCTCTCCTAGGCTAGCAAAACCTAAATGTAAAGACTCAGGTCTGCCCCAGGATAAGAACCGGTCAGGAACCGAAGTGATATATGTTTAAGCAGTTCCATCCCCAGTGTCAGGAACCAAGTACCTCGTTCCTACTAGCAAGAATCAACAAGCTTGACCCAGTGGTACTGTTCCAGCTCCTGACTCAGTTTCCCAATGACTGTGCCTTTACTCTTAGTCCCTTTCTTGGGGTTTGGACTCTTCTAACCTGGCCTCTCCTCTGACAAATTCCCAGACTCTCACCTGTCCCTTCTCAGTGGGAGAGAAGGCTGCTTCTCCCCACACAGAGACCTCCCACCTTGCCTGAACTTCTGAACATTACTCATCCTTGTGGGCTGCCCTCCTGCAGAGAAATCCAACTGACTCATTATACGGTGACCAGAATCTACTGAGACCTACGGACACAGGGGTCGTCCTCTAGACACTCTTCAGCTGTCAGCTCCTGAAGCTGGATGAAGTCCCCCCACATCCCTCCTGCCTCAGCAGGCAGCTTGCGGGCCAGCCCTGGCCTCCGCCCACCTGCTACGTAATGCAAACACGGTGGCACCTGCCCTGGGCTTACCTGCAGTGTTTCCAAACCCAAGAAGCACTACATGGAATAACATACTCTTACTAAATAAAATGATAGCCTTGGTGAGTCACAGATCCTTTGGGCAAAGCAGGATGAAATGTATAATCTCCGACACAAACGCTGCCCTGGGCCAGTCGGAACCGACTCTTTCATACCAGCGTTCACCTCGATGGCGGCTCTCAGGTCTTTTCTCTCTTTCCGGAGCTGGGCCAGTCTATTCCGCAGGGCTTCTTTCCTCTTCAGCAGCTCTTCTTCTTTGGTCTGTAGCCTCTTGGCATCTGCTTCTACCCGGTTCTTGCCATACTTGTACTGGTCAGCATCTTCGGAAGAAAGTTTAATCAAGCACGTAATGGGGTAATTCATAAAGTCTGTGTAATCAGCCAACTCAGTAAAATAAACTCAAAGCCAGTTATTTTGCTAATTCAACAAGAAAAAAAAGGACTGGTTTGAACTAAGCAGAAAAGTGACTAACTCAAATGCTCTGGTATTCTTTGAATCAAATTTTTTTAAAAAAGAAAATAGAATGTTAGGAAATTCCTTTAATTCCCTTCCCTTTGAGACACACAACTTATAGTTAATCTTTCAACAAGGCTGCAAGTGAACATTGTATAATTTGAAAAGATAGGACTCTATTACTATCAAAAATAATTTCTTGGATTTGTGTAGTTCTCTATATTTTTCAAAATGCTTCCACAGCACTGCAATATCTGTTCCTTATGACTATTAATATGTCATCTGACTGTTTTGCTCTGACTCGATGCTATACCCCAACATGAGATTGGCACCCGGCAGGCAGTGAGCACGCAGTAGACACTTGTTGAGTGAATAAACGAAAAATGAGTAAGTGAAGAGGCAACACAGAATAGGATCTGGAGCCTGACTATCTATGCATGACTTCCTGCCACTTGCAGCTGTGTGACCTTGAACAGGTACTTAATCCCTTTATGCCTCAGTTTCCTCATCTGTGAAATGGAGATAAGAGCAGGTAATTCCTAGGGTTATTATGAGGAGTAAATTAATTGATATTTATAAAGCACTTAGAACAAACACAAAAATGAGCACTACATAAACGCTTGCTTAATAAAATGAATGAATGAACGAACAAATGAGTGAAGAGGAAACTAGTTTTCAGGAAAATTTAGAGACTGGGCTAACATCACACCACCAGTTAATGCAGCATTACAATCCTGACCCTGTGCTCTCTCCCTCTTACTATGCTGGCCTCTCAATAATAGTAATTTAGAAAAAACACTTTGGAAAAATACATTAAAGAAACGAAGATTCTAACAAAACCCTGATGAAGGATCACCAGTTTCGAAGCTTCAACTGTCTCCCAATTGCTTGTAACAATCACGTACACCTGACGACAGCTCACAGCCTTCTATACTTCACGTACACCTTCCTCACTTCTCACCCCACCTGACTCCCTCACAACACTAGAAACTGCTTTGAGATAGAAGCCACGGAGGGCAACACAACAGCTGATGATAAAAACACAACGCAGAGAGGTGGACATAAGTCCGCACACCGCCCCGTCCCTGCCAAATGGTTCTGGGCAAGCAATCAATCTCCCTAAAACCTCAGCTTCACCCTCCATAAAGCAGAAATAATAAGGACTACCTTGTGATTTTTTTAAAAGCTTAAAAGAAACCTAACAAAATGACCTGATGCCTGGACTCAGTGGCCACTGACAGGTCTCATCACAATCAGCGATGACGGACGCCCCAGAGCCTGTCCACACAAATGGGGGAGCCACCTCCAGCGCCTGTCCTAAAGGCTGGATTTGCCAATTCTTGCAATGCAAACCATCATGATTTCAATGAAATACTACATTTATTTAGGCATATATAAAGTTATCAGTCTCCAATCAATTTTCCCCTCACCAAAGAGAAACCTACAGAACGCTACTAAAAGGACTGGCAGCCTGAGGACGACCAATCAACAGTTTGGAACCAAAGCATTGCTACTTGTGGCTAAGGCATTGCTACTTGTGGCTAAAGTAATGACATATTTTGCAAATAGGGGCCAAGTCCAAACCAAACTTTACCCATTTATTTCTAAACTAAGGTGTTTCTCCAATAAACCCACATACAACAACCTATAAATTTCCACATAATTTGGTCCCTATGCAATAAATCCCATACAATCTATAGTGCAACTGGCTAAATTCAGCAAAAACACAGAATGCAATTACTCTTCTCTTTTGTCACCATTAGATGTCACCAAAGTTTATAAAAATTCCCCAAAGAAGGTCTCGTAAAATAAAGGAATAAATCATGCAGAAAATAAGAGGAGCGTAAGTGCCGAAAGAGAAACACTGTGGCAGCCAACACTTCACGCGATTCAGACCCTGCTTAACGCGGCTCCGCAGGCCCGAGCTCCTGCTCTCCCCTGGCCCAAACGAACAACACTGGACGAAGTGAATACAAACGCACCCAAATACACTAGGGAAATAAGATTTGCAGTGAGATAAGGTCAAAATAAGTCAGCACATCGAATAAATTATGACAGGAGGATTTGGTCCAACTGGCTCCCGACCTATCTCCTTAACACGCACGTTTGGGCAGAACGGCGATGTATTAATAGGTTAGCTTAGTAAAGCGCACAAGCCTCCTCAGGGCAGCAGAGCACAGCACCGCTCGGCAGTTTCAGGGCTCATCCAGGTAAATAGCCACAGACAAAGCCAGCCTCCGAGTCCCCTGTGTACCTCCAACCACAGCACACAGGGACGTCAGCCTCTCTCTCTTTACGCTTGCCACAGAGGTACCAACTGGAGCTGGCTAGTCTTGTCTTCACTAACACAGAGATTGGTCTACCAACTGGATTAATCTACCATTAATCCGGATTCAAAAAGTTCAGGTGCAAAGCCCAAGTGACAACGGCACGCAATCACACCGAAATCAACACTCGCATCTAACTCCCACCTTCCTCCTCTGGGAAACCTTCCCACGTGACCGAGGGAATCAGGAGCTCCTGAGCCCTGTAACACCCCACGCTGCAGCCCTTGCCCTGGCTCACATCTGCTCCACTGAAGCCACTTGCTGGCAACTGCTCTATCTTATCTTTATGTCCTTGGTAACAAGCGCAGTGCCTCGAGTGAATGAATGCTGCCTGGCTGCACAAACAATGAGACACCCAATAGGATGAGGCTAAAGCAAATGCAAATACGCAGAGATAACGGTACCACCCCAGATGCATCTCTCTGGAGCTAGGGGAGGAAGATCCCTGGTGTTCGAGCAGGCTGCATCTCTCCTGCCCCACCGTCTCTGCCCAATCTACTTCTGGCTAGATTTGCCAGCTATGAGCCCACAGGGAGCCACTTAATCACTTGGAGATTCTTTTCTTATTTGTACAGTGGGGCAGATGGCAGTATCTACCTTTATCAAGTGGCTATGAGAAATAAACAGGGAGAGAGAAATAGCGGCTTGCTGTAGACTATGATGCACTGCAAGATTAATAATTCCTTATAAATCCTGCATTGCTCTAGTGCTTTGAGGTACACGCATTACCTCAATCAGTTCAGTCACAGCTTCCACGGGAGCCATTTGTCCATGTCTGACAGAGAAAGAGGTTGAGTTTAGAGCATTTACATGATTCGTCAATAGCAGATCAGGGACACAGACCAGGGTCTTCTGATCCAGAGTCTGGGGCCCCCTGGAGCTGCACTCACAGTATTTAAACATGCTAAATCAATTCCACAGCTAACAAACCTGCTTTGCGTTTCCTTCTACATGAAACAGTCACAAAATTGGGTTAAGATCATTGCCTTCTTCAACCCAGCCAAAGAGTAAGAATGACAGTGCACACGATCCCATCTCTCCAACTGACCCCTGAACTGGCACTCCCTAGTGAGCAGGCCCAGACAACGCCAGTTTCGCAAACTGCTCTTCAAACCAGAAAGCAAGAAACCAAATGAGAAACTCACTAGAGGTTGTCCGTTTCACGCTGGCTGCTGAGTCCGCTTTTTTTGGCTGACCGCTTGGAGTCTTCCCTTTCCCTGTGACCCCGTTAGATGCCACTGGGGGCTTTTTACCCTTCAACTGTTGAAATAAACATATAAGAAAATTAAAAACAGAACAAAACAAAAAACCTTGTTTTTTTTTTTTCTCTAGTAATTTCTTTCAGTCTCTGACTCTTTAACTAGAACCTAGCACAGATGGAAAAAAAATGAAGTTAAAAGAAAACCAAGGTGGTCTCCAAACTTTGGGCTGCTGTGATTTTCCTGGAATGGCTAAGAAGGTTCTAGCATTGAGGTTCAAAATAAATGAGGCTCTCTAGGATGTCTTTAGCTGCAGTGCTGTAGAAGTCATAAATTTCTCTTGGGAGATCATAAATGTTCACCATGAAATTGGCACAGGCAGTGACTATCCAAGAGCCTTCAGCGGAGATTACTAAAAGTTTGCTAAGGATAAACAGCTTTTATTTTAGCGGGATGCTTTTTAGGGCAGTAGCACGACCCTGCAGTTAGATTTCTGTTGCTTCAAGCGCTTTTATCCTGAGTGCCATCCCGATGGGGTAGATAACGCCTCTGCCTCAGTGCGGGGCTCTGAGGAAGGAAGAGAAGCATAATACAGACATAGTGTGAATAATTTGGAAACTAAATTTCCACTAACCACGGGTTTAAAAAAAAATAAAGAGTACCCCTACTTCTTTGATTGCTGTAAGCCAACAAATGCTGTATTTTGCTTAACTGATATTATGTGTGCCTTAGTTGTGTGATAAATTCAGCTTGATGCCAAAAGTTTATAACTTTAGATCTCCAAGCCCATGCTTTTTCCATGACACTACATTTTCCTTCTGTGGTGGGCCTTGGTTCTGGGGGAGGGCAGATGGATCCAGCTTCAAATTCTGGCTCCGTCATTTCGAGATGCTGAGCAAGTCATTTAAACTTTCTGAGCCTCTGTGTGTTCACTTAAAAATAAACAGATATGGATACCTCCCCACAGGGCCCCTAAAAAGATTAAATGACATACCATACATATACAGCATATGGCACCTTGTGAGTGTTCAGTAGGCGCAAGGTCTCTCCATTAAATAATAGGTTCCCATTAAAATGACCAAATGAGGATGGGAAACCTAACGGTAATATAATTCAACTTACAAAACTTGCTTCCTATTTAAACAAAAGCAAAACAAAGAACAACAACAATAACATAAACACTCCACACATAACAATGTATCAGATGATTCCCAACTAATCTGGGTATAGCCAGATGTACAAAATAGCATATTTCACTGCAACTTTTTACCTAAGGCAACTCCAATACCAATAAAAAGACAGATAGATAGATACATGTTCACTTAGTAAATGAACATATATCCTACAAGATTGTTGGCATAAGTACTCATAAAAACCCTAGAGGCCAGTGCCCCTACATGTGACCATACCTATGTCTGCACTCCTCAGACACACGAAATCATAATCTCCATGGATGTGATCTGAGCAACTGTTGTTAAAAATCAAAAGCAAACAAAAAATTCACATTTAATTTTTGATGAAGCCAATCTACTGAGAGGTGCTGCGCTAAGTCACTACTACCTGGAATTCTAGGATCTTACCTGGTTAATTATTTTATTAAGATTACCCAAAAAATGGAGAAAAAGAAAAAAAAAAGTTAAAACATGCCCTTTTATGTTAGTATTCCTATATATAGTGCTTATTAGATCTTTAGGTAAAACAAAAATTCTTAGGTTAAATATGCATGATAAGCTGGGCACAGTGGTACACATCTGTAGTCCCAGCTACTTAGGAGGCTGAGGCAGGAGGACCACTTGAGCCCAGGAGATGGAGTCCAGCCTGGGGAACATAGCAAGACCCCATCTCCAAAACAAACAAACAAACAAACAAAAACCCCAAAATAAAACAAAAGTCCATGATAACACAAAATTAGTGTTTACTCTGAAATGTTACTATTTGCCATAAACACAGGGTGTGGGATGGATAACAGCTCAACATCAAGGTTATTATCATTCAATGCTCATCAAAAATCCTTATTATCATCTACTAAGTTTTAGGGAGTATAGCTTTATACTCATCACGGAAAAACACTTTAGCACTCTGAAAAATCAATCCTATTTCATGTCTAAAGATAAAAAGGCAACTACTTCATGGAGTCAACCCTCCCTCATTATGTGTAATGGAAACACATAAAAGAAACTTGCAGTTCAAGGATCTTCTGAAAAGTTTAACTGCCCTGGTTCTTTAAAAATCTTTGCCTTTAGTTGACATAATTCACAAAATTTATTGGGGAATATTCCAAGAATAGAAAGAGAGCCAGATGTAGGCAAAGAAACAGTGCTTAGGTAAACTATGAATTAATTAGGAATATTTCGTCAGTTCCTTGCTGGTCAAATTGCAAATTATATTCTGCTTGAGGAAAAAAATTATGCTTTGCTCTTGTTGAGTCCTATTTAGCACATGTTGCGAAACTCTGTTGGAGGAGTGCGACTCAAAGATGGTTCTAGGCTATGGTAGAAGGGGATGCTGTACCTGGGAGCCAGGCCCGAGAGACGCCCTCCCCGGAGAAGAGGTGTTAGTGACAGGCGGAGCAGAGGCGGGGTGTTTGTAATGGTTAGAGCACAGCTTGTCAGCCGACAGCCTAGAAGCCTTCCTGTCAGCAGGAGAGTAGCGGGCAAAGATTTTCGGAGATGGCAAGTTATCGTACAGGCCTGCATTATCATAGAGCACCTCTTCTCCCAAGCCTCTGCTACAGGAAGCAGGAAAGCCACCTTCCGGTTCCCACTGCAACACACATAGCTTTGTCGTTAGTGAGTCGGACACAGAAAATGGCAGTTTTAGCATAATGAGACATCGTCTAGCATAGCATTCAGTGTACCATCAGCACCCCAAAAGTCCTATGTACACAGACCTCCAGTTGTTGTCAATAAAACACACACACACGCCCACACACATATGCACACAAGCACGTGGACTGACTCAAAAGAATTTTACTTTTGGGGTCTTAAGGAAAGGTTTCTTTTGTCCTTCAATTGTTCCCAGGGTCATTGGATTTTAAAATTTTTTTTTTTTTTTTTTTTTTTTTTTTTTTTTTTTTTTTGAGACAGAGTCTCACTCTTTTGCCCGGGCTAGAGTGAGTGCCGTGGCGTCAGCCTAGCTCACAGCAACCTCACACTCCTGGGCTCGAGCGATCCTTCTGTCTCAGCCTCCCGAGTAGCTGGGACTACAGGCATGCGCCACCATGCCCGGCTAATTTTTTCTATATATTTTTAGTTGTCTGATTAATTTCTTTCTATTTTTAGTAAAGACGGGGTCTTGCTCTTGCTCAAGGCTGGTCTCGAACTCCTGAGCTCAAACAATCCGCCCGCCTCGGCCTCCCAGAGTGCTAGGATTACAGGCATGAGCCACCGTGCCCGGCCTGTTCTGTTTTTTATAGCAGAAAAAAAAAATACTGATTTGACATTTCCTTCTTTAGAGAACCAGAGTTTGGAAGTCCCCCAGGCCAGGACGTGGAAGTGAGGTGAGGGAGGGAACGCTCCAGATCTGCGGGAAGACACGAGAGACCCCGGCAACGCACTCCATCTCGCGTCACTGCACTTCCTGTGCTCTAGGCATCGTTTGGAGCGCTTTACCGGCATCAACTCATTAATCTCACAGGAATCTTATGAGGTGGGAGGAAACAGAGGCAGAGACAGGTCACGCAGCCGGTAAGCGGCAGAGCTGGACTGCGGGGCTGTGCTCATCACCGTGCACGACGAAGCCTGGGCTCTCCTGGAGACAGTGACCCTTCCAGACCTCTCCCAGTCTACCACACAGGAGCCGGTGACCTAAGTCCCAGGGTAACTGTCCTCATGCGCCCCTCTGCTCCATGCTTTGTACACCTGGAGAAAGTGCCACGACCAAACACGGTCTGTTGAAGTAAGACATCAAGTCATCATGGAAAACAGGATGCTTCCCAATCTAACTGATATAATGGTATTATTTTAGTGGAAAATCTTTAATAAAAAACTAAAATAGCTACATGCCATTTCACGGGACAGAGGAATTTTAGAACATGGACATTAAAGTATAAATTCAAACCAAAACTGATAATCACGGCCAGATCTCTTCAAGTTTTAAAGGTCTTTATAAATTGCCTTGCAGCACAAAAAGGTAATATTAATTCTTATATTATACTCATTTTACCCTGTTTTTATAGTTTTGTGGCAGAGTTCCTTTCTGCCAGACTATAATTATAGCCTTTTGTTTTAAAAATAGAAAAGATTTTAAATTCCACAGTAGGAGTGTTTTTATTCCTTTGCAATCACTTCACTGTGTCTATTTTAGTGATGCTGGGGACCGAACCACACTCTAAAAATAATGGTACACGCAGATAAACTTGGATGTGAGAGGTTCATAATGACAAGCTAGCATACATTTGTCCAGAGTGATTAAAATGGTCTAGACTAGACTATCATTTTCCTAAAATACCAAGGATTAAGTCATACGGAAGACTTAGAAAACACCAACAGAGACCTTATAGAAGTTTCTAGATTAACAGTGTGAGTATGCATACTTTCATCTTGGATTAAGCATCAGGGGAACAATGAATGGGTAAAAATTACTTAAGTCGAAATGCTGCTAAAATGACAGATGTTGTGTCATAAAGTATGAATTTTATAAAACCTAGAAATGAGTCCCTCCAAAAAAGAAATTACCTGCTAACAGAGCCCAGCATGTAGAAAAATACTTTAAAGAAGGGCCTGTACAGAGAAAGTCCTTAATAAGCAAAAAAGCCACAAATACGCACACAGGGCATTATGTCTTAAAAGCCTCTATTGCCAGCCCAGCAATGCACACACAGAAACAATTCCCAGACGCAGAGTCCTTTGAGAATGGCAGAGTTTTATTTCTGAAGCAGATTAACCTGTGAATGACCTAAAGCAAAGTCATTCCTGGGGGCGGCTGGAACCAGTGTAAGAAAGTCTGAACTCAATGAGTCAGGAGGGGCCAGGTGACTTGTGCAGTTCCATGGGTTCTCTACACCGTGCGGCTCAAACCTGCGAGTCACAATCAGGGACGCGTGTGGGGAAACACCGCTAAGGAGAAGGTATGAGAAAGAGTCTTTCGGTAGGAAGGGATAGGAATAGGTTTATGTGCTATCTTTCCAAAAAAGTTGAAGGCTAAGGTCAACGGCTCAAAGGACCAGATAATTTTCAAGAAGATGAGTTTGGTAACTGGAGCCTAAAGCCACAGACAAGAGTGTTCCGTTGAGAGACACTGGTCCTGACACAGAGCACATGGAGGCCAGAAGACCTTGGCCCCACCTTGAAAGGGGTGGTGACCAGAACGGGCAGAGACTCCATGGAGAGCCACCGAGGTGCTGCCCCTAAGTGGGCAGAGCCTGCACGAGCCTCTCCGCAGGGGTGGCAGGCTGTGGCTATGGTGAGCACGACAGCTCCTCAACTGCTGGGGACCTGGGGCCGGGGACAAAGAGGAGACCGACTGGACCTAAAACCCAACAGGGGGGTTTGACTGGACAGACTCTGCATCTAGGGTGGGGTTTAAAAGCTGCCTCATCTGGCTACACACTGACGCATGTCCCAACATGGGATCCACAGCCGGCCCTGCCCTGCCCAGAACGCCGGGCAGCTCTCCCTCATCGCCTGTCTCATTCCCACTAGAATGGGGGACCCTGGAGGGACAAAGACAATATCTTATCTGTGTCATTTCCAATTCCTAGCACGGAGCCTGGCCCCTAAGAGACACCAGCAAATAAGGCAAGGGAGAGAAGGGTAAGGAGGGAGGAAGCCAGTGAGGAGGAGGAGGTCCCTTTTCAGAACCAAGTGGGGGCATGGACAGGCGGGCACGCCCGCAGGAACCCAGGGTGGGTCCAGAGGGGCGGGAGGGACAGTGTGCTAGGAGGAAGCCCACGGGATAGCACTTCAGCCCCAGATGCACTGCATCCCTCCTAGCTCTGGATGCACAGCTGGCCACCTCTGGCCTGGACCGCCAAAACCTCCCTTCCAGTTTGTTTATACCCCTGAGCTCTGGGGTCCTTGAGCCCTTGCTTCCCTCAGGCAGGCAGCTGCCTCCTGGCTCCTGCCATGGGCAGGTATGGTGTTATGATGCTGGGAGCTAACTGATGACATCTATCAAAATACTGGAGCAAAAAAAACAGTCTAAAATATCTTCGAAAGCTGAAAAAACAATGATAAACATACTCTGTGCCTACCTTTGAAAAATATCTTAATATAGGTGCCAATTTTACACCCACCCAATACTAGGAGACAAAGGCCACGCCTCTCTCACCTGTCTGCTAACCTGTGCAGACCTCATCTCTGAAGGCCCAGAGCTGGGCACAGCCCAGGTACACAGAGGATGCTCAGCAGGTGGTTGTTAGATGAATAATGATGGCACGGCACAGAATAAACATTTAGTGAGGAGGTCTGCTAATTATACGTGAGATACAAAATACTGAGAACAAATTAAAAATCTCCTAGGGCCAGACAGACCCTGGAGACTAGCTTAATACAAACAGCTGCCACTAACCATCTCCAATATTTACATACAGATATACAAAGTGCCAAGCTGGCAGTCAGGAGCCCCAGTTACTCCAAGTCGACAACAAAGAAGTTGTCTTGAACTTGAAACACGGTCGTTACTCTACAGCAACTATTCCTTCCTGATGGTGACTTCTCAGCATGTTTATCATATCAGAAAATTAACTATTCATCGATAACTTATACTGCATTATATTTTGATCTGTCCAAGTTATCCAAGTATTAGTTATGCTAATATGCCATCCTTTAGTCAGTATTTTAAAGCATGCTGAAATGTTTAATTAATGGCATTGACATTAAATGACAAACTGTCTACTGGTGTCAAATTACGCGTTTGTTCAAATGCAGATTAAGATGAACAGCATCTTCAAGCCAGCAACGGTATGAAGATGAATAGCATGTCAGAAACCAGGAGGTGAGAGAGAAGATGGAGTTCTCCTCTTGCTTCAAAGCATTAAAAAAAAAGAGCTTTATCTCATTCAGACTGAAACCAGGGTACCAAAGTATAGAATTTTTCAGATAGTCTTGCCTTCTAACAAAACCAACCATTTACTCTAGAAAAACGGCACACTCACCGAGCCATTGATGCAAGGGACATCGTCGTAATGCAGTGCCGTCCCGCTGGGGTGGGCGTAGCCGTTGGCGGTGCCCCCTAGATATGGGTTGGTAGATATAACACGCCTGTTCATGAAGCTGAAAGAAAGGACGTACGTTAAAATCCATACCCTGACTATTTTTTCCTCCAGTCAATCAGCAAGTCTTAAATTAGTTCTGACTTTACGCCCAAGGCTGTGTCCGAGGCTATGGGAGCAGAGAAGCGTTAGCACCTGGGCAGAAAGGGGAGTCGCACTGGAGAGACTGAACAGACCTTCACTGTAAAACCAGGGCGGCAGGCAGCCTGCAGCACCGCAACAAGCACTGGTGATAGTGTTTGCTAGGTGCAGAAAGCAATGCCTGCAAATAACAAGTACTCAATATAAACCAATGATTTGGGTTATCATCAGTCTCAACAGTGGCCAGCTCTGCTCACAGCCTGTTTTTGTAATAAAGTTTTATTGGAACATGTGCCTCTTTCATGAGTTTGCCAACTCTCAAGAGGACCACATGGCTTGCAAAGCTCAAATATTTACTATATGGCATTTTTTGGAAAAAGTTCATGGATCTCTGTCCTACAAGCTCTTCAGAACATTCATTCAACAAGTATCTATGGAGTTCTGAGGTTCACTTAGCATCGTGGCCACCTCAGTACCACTCACCTTGGCCTTTTCCCTGAACTCCCTTGACTTTGGACAGAGCTGCTGACATCGGCCAAAGAAACCCTTTAGAGGGTATGATATTGTGATATAACAAGAAATGCCTATTTTGGTCTTTGTCCTGAGTTCCTGGCCAGAGCTCCTAACACCCTTGGAATCTCCTAAATGACAAGGGCTTAAATGTTAAAGATCATCTTTTATTGATTCATAACGAGCCCCTTTCAACCACACGGAAGGTTATACAGATGAGGTGACTCCTGGAAAACCCAGAGTTGCCAGAGGAACCAACCATGTGATTACAGGGTTGGAACTTTCAGTTCCATGAAAACCTCTGCCGGGCAGGGGATGCCGTGCTGCCCTCTCTCCCTTAAACACGCTCTTTTTAATTTATAAAGTAACTCTTCTTCCTTTGCTTACAAAAAATTAATGTAATTATTCTATACTTAAAATACATAGAAGTATAATATACGTAGGAAAAGAAATGGCATAGGAAGAGAAAATACACATGAAGGAAAGGCACAGCAAAATGTAAAACACTGAGGAGTTCTGCAATGACAGATTTTGATTTTTTAAAAAATTAAATATTTAAGGTTTTCTAACTTAAACGTCTTGTTTGAGGTTTTTTGTTTTTTTTTTTTTGAGTAACCATGTACACTTTCTGCCAAGGAGAGGCAGTAAACAGATGAACAGAGCCCAGCCTCGGGGACTGCTCCTTCCCGTGTGCCCGCTGGCCCGAGCACGCACCTGCCACTCGGCACCCCATGTTTGTCAACGTATCTTACTCCGTGCAGCAGGGACAGGCTCACGCTTGGTCTGTAGTGTCAGTTCCTAGCCCTGTGCCTAGCACTTGCCCTGACACGCAGATGCCAGGACACAGTGGAAAGGACGGGGTCGGGACAGAGGCCCTAAAGGGCGCGCTCCTGCTTCTTCTCGGGGAAGAGACACCTCATGAAGCTTCCTGCGGTTTCACTTGGCAGGACTCAGGGAGCGTAGAATTGGAGGTCACAGACGCTCAGAATGTCCTAGGCGGAAGAGGCCTTGCCCAGCAGCTAGGCAGCCCTCACCTAGCAGAGAGGGACCTGGGCCCTGTGAGTAAAATAATTCTCCCAGGCCAGAGAGGGGTGGGGCCGAGACTAAGAGCTGGGCCTCCTGCCCTTGGCTTGGTGCTCTTTCCACAATCTGACTTGCAGCCGAATGTGGAAGTGGAGACGAGGTAAGAGGCCATGTGCCACTCGTTAAACCAGAAACACACGAAAATCACAGGAAATATGTTTTAAAGTAACCTCCCAGGAATCTGGATGAGAGGATGACTGGGAGGAGCGCTTCCTGCCAGGTATCTGTACCCGCACTCGGCCACAGGAGCCACCGCCGTTATCACCGCCATCCTCTCCGCAGCTTTCTGATGGTCGGTCGCCAACTGAGCGTGACTTGAAAAGAGTTTCAGGAGAAAACTATGCGATATTTTTCCTGTATGCTATAATCTATATATCTCATTTAAAAACAGGCTCTCAGGAAAATATGTTTCAATCGTTTACTGTTTCTAAAGTTCCTAAATAAACCACTTTTCCTGGAGAGTCTACATTACTATTTTTTATTTTACTTTCCTCTTTCCAAAATATATTATTGCCCTTTCTACCTCAGACATACACAATGCACAGTAATTCTCCTAATAACCTTGAAAAGAGTCATTAACTGGCTGCCAATGTATATAAAAGCAAACAACTTAATCTTAGAATATTTACCACACTGGCAAGTTACCATATTTTGAACATTGTTTCCTTGTTAAATCTCATCTCCCAAGTTTTAAAGGAATTTTTGGCTAGAAAACTTAAAAATGAAAATAAATTTATTGCTGACATCTCCTATAAAGATTTTAATGAGGCAGAAAAGATTCTTGCAGCCATAAGTTCATCATATGCATATTTTTTTTTTTTTTTTGAGACAGAGTCTCACTCTTTTGCCCAGGCTAGAGTGAGTGCCGTGGCGTCAGCCTAGCTCACAGCAACCTCAAACTCCTGGGCTCAAGCGATCCTTCTGCCTCAGCCTCCCAAGTAGCTGGGAATACAGGCATGCGCCACCATGCCCGGCTAGTTTTTTCTATATATTTTTAGTTGTCCAATTAATTTCTTTCTATTTTTTTTAGTAGAGACGGGGTCTCGCTCTTGCTCAGGCTGGTTTCGAACTCCTGAGCTCAAACAATCCGCCCACTTCGGCCTCCCAGAGTGCTAGGATTACAGGCGTGAGCCACTGCCCCCGGCCTTATATGCATATTTTTAATGAATAATTTTTCAATACTATTATCTACATTCCTTTCTCAAAAATGTGACACCCCCACATTTGGTTTAGATTAATACTACACTCATTTGTAATGTAAAGGCAAAGTTGTATTCTAGGGGAAATATTTTAATTCAGGGGTTGTCTTAAATGTGGTTATCAGTTTCCTGATTACAGTTGAAATTACATGTGGAATTAGGGTAAGCTTTTTTATAAATCTAATAACTTCCAAACAACCATAAGCACTTTTATGTCAATCTAGTTGTACAGATTTTGTAAAACTAGATTAACAGATATTATATTTCTTAAAAAGCTACTTTAAATGTGCTTTGTTTACTGCATAGTACGTAATAAATAGGAGAATTATTGTAATTTACCCACATTTTGCTGATTAGAAAATAATGTTATTAAACAATAATGGGCCTAAACAGAACAATAAGTACTTGGCAACATCTATTCTGATTTTCACACAGAATAGTGGTGAGAATAGTTACCTTGTACTATAGAAAACCTCTAGCATTACTGGGCATTTTCTGGAAAATGTGTACAAGACTAATTCATTTTGTCAAGGCTATTGACCTTAGTTGGGTGTAATATGGTGGCTTGATTCCTAATATGGGCCAGAGTTATCTTTACCTTGACAAACCCTATTGTTTAGCCCCAGAATGTCCTAGCCAAGCATTAAATAGATGTTCATTCACCATTCAAGATACAAACAAAGACTACTCCAACTCCACATAAACACCACTTGTGAGGAAAAACTAGATGGTAGTATTCATATTAGACAGGCAAATTACAGCATAAACATTTCAATTTATCCTCTTCATATCTGAAAGTTTCCGTAGTCTTAGCCAGCACTGGCAGGTCTGCTGGTACGGACAAACACACCAACAACTCCTGCTGTATGTTTTGTTTCAATACCCCTCCTCCCCAGCCCCAAATTCAGATTTTCTAGGGATGACAGGAATATGAGCAGGACTCAAGGGATCAAAGATATCAGAGCCAGAAGAAGTTTCAGACATCATCTCTCCTAACATATTTTCTACACAAAGAAGTAGAGGCACTAACAGGTTACGAATGACTTGTCTAACTTTTCCAATTAGTAAATACCATAGCAGGACCTGAACCAAGATTTGCTGTCTACTATCTTCTGTATTTGAAATTAAACGTGAGACATTTATTCATTTTTATTCACTTAAAAATAATATAATGACCCATATTTCAACATAAATAATATATTTTTATGAAAACTATAGTTTCCACAATATAAAACCATTATTAGCAGTAAGAAAAGTGGCACTGTTTTACATGTTTGTAAACCTAATTAGTGTGCATCTGGACAGAAGATGAATGGACCCTCACGCCTGCTTCTGCTCCTCTGATTGCAGCACATGAAGAAAATCCAGCCTCACACAGGTAAGTAGCTGGAAAAGTGAGGCATATTTTAATAGCTTTTTCAGATAGCTGTAGATATTCTTTGATACTACACCAAAAGTCGGCAAATGGTAGTTTCTTAATGAGTAGTTGCAACGTGGAATGTGAAATCACATCAGTGAACTTACGTTAAAATCCATTAGTTTATCTTGCACTTGAAATGGATCTGTTACTCATGCAGATCTACCCTTATGTAGATCTTTCAAATGTTGACACATTTCATTACACAATATTAAAAAATCACTATTGATATTACCACAGATCTCAGCAGCAGAGTCTGTAGGTGTTGGGAAGCTGGCAAGCTCACAGTGGCGGATATAAATTTTCCAAAATTCTAATTTCTGAGTGAAAGCTCAAATATATCACAGGCAACATATACTGTCAATTGTTTGCCTAGAGATGAGACGTATAGTTAGTTCATTTTCAAGAAATGTCTACAAATATGTAAATGCAAATAACTATTGTTTGTCAGTTGTTTCTTCAAGTAAAAATAAAAAAAAATATTTAAACAGGCAGCTAGTCCTATTAGCAACTTGATTGTATGTGAGCTTTTCCCCAAGACACCCATTATCATTCTGCAAACACATGTACTTTCTGCGGCCACACAGAATGTTGAAAAGACACATACTTAAGAGATTTAATTAAAATATTTACTAGTTGGCCTTTTACAGAAAAAGTAGCAATTTTTACTGTTTCATCAAGGACCTCTTAAGTGAGACCAGTATGTTCTTTTAATGTTGCAAATGTGTAGCCACGGTGAACATAATGATTACTATTAACAATACACGTGGTGAGACCACTATTTGTGTTAAGGTGCCAGTGATTACCACCAACACAAATGTCAAACAAAACAGTGAAAAAGGAAAATGTCTTAGTATTATTATGAAAATTGTTTTGACCCTGCAGACTGCCTGAAAGAGTCTTGAATACCCTCAAGGGTCTGTGGACCACACTGAGAACTGTTGCTATAAATATCTTTGCCACCATTATGTTAAAGAAATATTCACGGTTCAAAAGGATGTTTTTATACATAAGAGCATTTTAAAAAAATGACAATTTAAATTTACAAAGTACTTGATTGGGGACTTTGGAAACTCAGTCCTCATTACAGTAACATGTAGAATCATTTCTGCTTCCTAGAACCGTTCCTCTAATACAGGGGTAGGCAAAATATGGGCCAAATCTGGCCCACTGCCTGTTTGTGCAAATAAAGTTGCATGGGAGCACAGCCACACCCCTTAGTGTGCGCACTGTCTCTGGCTGCAGCGGCAGAGCCAGGTGGTTACAACAAGGAATGTATGGCCCTGGTCCTTTATACAAGTGTGCCACCCCTGCTCTAACAGAAAACCCAGAGGGCTGACATGACAAAAATATTGCAGCAAAATTTGGACTACCATAATGCAAAAGACTTGTTAGTTTTTTTCTAAGACTATACATTCACACAAAAACTAAGTTAAAAAATTAAGAAAAAGATATTCAACTTTGGTGCCATTCACACAGCTGTGGATCTTACCAGAAGGTCTGCTTGGCTGTCTGGATGACATTTGCAGACATCTCCACATCTATGTAGTCATAGTGCAGAGCCCCTGGGTCTGTGGATGACCCTGTCTCAGCCAGTAAAATCCCAATCCACCTGCCCATGTCTTCAGAAGAAGATGCCTGTTGAAGTAGGAAAAAGAAGTAGATTTTATTTAACTAAAGATAAAGAATGTTATCTTTTAACTAAAGATAAAAATTTTCATAAATGTGTCAATAAAGAGACCGTATAATAGGAAAAGCAATGAAACATGAAGCACAGAAGAATAAATGAGAAAGAAGATGCAGTCATTGCCTGAGTAATGGGGTTAACATTGCATTCGTACTAGGCCTTAATGCAGGAAGTTGCATATGATTATACCAAAGGTAATGAAAATGTGAGGTCCTAAAACGCCTTCCAATTATTTTGGCAGAAGGCACTAGGGAGCAAGACATGAAAATCAGTGGGATTAATTACATCCCAGTAAAAGAAAGTTGTTTAGAAAGCCTCATTAATTTGGCAACAAAATCTGGCCATAAAAAGGAGTACACTCCAACTGTTGCTGGCCTGCCTTGGAAACACAGTCAAGATCTAGGCTCTTATTCGTCTAAACTTTGTTAATCTAAACTTTTTTAACCAGTAGCCCCTAAATAGGCCTGAAATGGTAATTTTATTTCTCTTGATTAGGTAGTATAAAAAATTAACTTACTTGTATATCAATTGCATTTCTATAGGTGTAACAATGTTTTGTGCACACCATTTCTTAAAATGTTTGAAATTCCCTCCAATTTGATCTGCTTAATTTGCAAGTCTGGAATATATCTTTAAAATTATGTTCATTGAGGCTGGGTGTGGTGGTTCAAGCCTGTAATCCTAGCACTCTGAGAGGCCAAGGCGGGAGGATCCCTTGCCATCAGGAGTTCAAGACCAGCCTGAGCAAGAGCAAGAGCAAGAGTGAGACCCTGTCACTACTAAAAATAGAAAAAAAATTAGCCAGGCTACTAAAAATAGAAAAAATTAGCAGGCTGTTGTGGAGCACACCTGTAGTCCCAGCTACTCAGGAGGCTGAGGCAGGAGGATCACTTGAGCCCAGTAGTTTGAGGTTGCAGTGAGCTAGTCTGACGCCACGGCACTCTAGCCTGGGCAACAGAGTGAGACTCTGTCTCAAAAATAAATAAATAGGTAATATTGAATAATCTCCTAATTTATTGGAATTGAATTTAAAACAATAAAAATTTTTTTGAAAGACTATGTTCATTGAATTTTTAAGCCATCCTTATTGATTTAGAAAATCAGTTATGTTTCTAATGGTATTTGAAATGTCTAAATAAATTTGATTAATCAAATATGTAAATAATGGTTAAAGTTTAGGGGAAATTAAGCTACCAAATTTATGAGTTCACTGAATGTAGAAGAAAAAATAAATTTTATTTTTTATAAAAGTTTCTAATTTTTTAAAGATAGATCTGTAAATTGAGTTTACAGGCACAAAGAAAATTAGGTTTTAGAACTATAACCTTGACAGTTTGAACACTGATCAGAATACAAGTAAATATTCCATGCCATACATAAAAGCCTCTCTAGAGGAAGAGCCATTAACAAACAAGAACCCAGTTTTTTGTACGTTGATAAAATTGGCTAGTGATAATTTCCACATGCAAATCATTCCTAACCAGTACAAAATGAGGCCATTAGGACAAAATGAAGGGATTCCAGAGTAAGGATGTAACCAGCGTTTGCCCAATTAAGATGAACTGATTTGAATACTTGGATTAAAATAAATCACAAATATGTGCTCTTCATAGGTCTTTTGTCCTTCCCAAAACAAAATCTATATCAAGAGGGAATCCATGACTAATTCTGTACCTATGTAACTATAACAATTTCATCAAAGCATTTTAAAAAGTGTTTTAATACAATTAATATCTAAGACGTGATGATATTACTACACTAGAGTTTACTAATTGTTTTCTTCATAGTTCATTGTAAGAGAAATTTCCTCATAGGGTTTTTAAAAACAATCCTGTGGTATTGGACTGGAAATGGAGGTGATAGTTATGATCACATGGTTTTTAATATATAAAGAATAGATATAGATGTGCGCATATCTGTATGTATATATGTGTATGCATGTGTGGATTTACACTTAAAGTATCATATGTATAACATGTAAACATGCGTGATACATGCATGTGTACATGTGCACACACATCTGTTTCTTGTGTTTGCGTGCTGAAAAGACCCAGGAGCAATGACCCCCGTGGAAGTGAACACACCAAGCACCCTGAGCACGGTGTCTAAATACCACATTCCCCACTAGGAGGAGCCGGTGTGCTCTGGAGAAACGGCCGGCGCCGGCTCCAGGTCTGGGGTAGGGAAAGGCACAAGAAGATGAGACTGGAGCTTGCTGTGTCACAAGAGGAAAGTAATCGAAGTATGATGGGGACCACAATCTCTTTATTACAGAGACACAGCAAGGACACAAGAGCCAGCTCAGAGGGCCTCCTACTGGCCAAATCTGTGATAATTTGACCAAAATAAATTATGATAATAAAGGATTATAATCATTGATTGATACAACAATCTATGATTCTCCACTCATACACATACACATATGTAAATGAATGAATTAAATGGGAGGGGAACAAAACTGTCCTCACAATAGATAAATGCAAGTAATAAATGCAGAAGGAATAAGAGAATTAGAAAGTCACTGTTTGGCAACTGTCATTACAATGCTTGTTTCAGGCAAGAGTCGTTAATGGATGCCAAAATCAGTGGGCAAAATTGTGAGTAATAACAGGATAGTTTCATAGTCTCAAAGTATCTCCCCACATGATACTTATTAAAGATAAAGGGAAAATTCAGTAAATTTACAGTGGGGAAATCTCACCCAAGGGATCCAAATTAACATCACTAATGCGACAAACTGACACTGTGCACCTCCTAATGACCCACCGTAAAACATGCCACCACTTCCAAGGGCTCCCACTAAGGAGGCCCACCTGATTCCAACATGGGGAGAGACGTGCCCAGACACAGGAACCCACTGCAAAGTAACTGGTCTGCACCCGTCCTACGCGTCAATGTCGTGAAACCAGATAGAGGAGGCGAAAGAGACTTGGCAGCGGAATGTAACACATAATCTGGACTTTCCTTCTGCTTATAAAGGGTATTGTTGGAATAACCAGGAAAATCTGATGAAGATCTAGAATCAGATAATGGTACTATATGAATGTTAATTTTCTCGTTTTGATAATTATTCAGTGGTTCTAATGAGGGGATACCCTTTTTTTAGCAAATACACATCAAAGTATTTGAGGATAAAAGGACAAAAGAACTGCAAAAGGTTCTGAAAAACTTTACACATACATACATACATGTATACAGAGATACAGAGAGAGAGAGAGAGAGAGAGTGTGCACAAAAGAGATAACAAAATGGAAAAATATTAGTATTTGGTGAATACAGGTAAAAGGTATACATGCATTCTTTGTGCTATTCTTGCAACTTTTCTGTAATTCTGAAATTATCTCAAAACCAAAGTTAAAATGGTCTTGGAAAAAGTGCAGAGCACATTACAACTTTGTTGGCTGGCTCACTGCATTTCACTACTGATCAGGATAGAACCTTTTGCTTATATTGGAATGTCGTGGATTTTTGTGTGTGTCATTTTTAAGTGAGGTCACACTTTTGCAGTTGTAAAAACAGGTGTCCTACATGGAGTGACACTGGATAAACTTCCAGTTCTTGCCATCATTTTGTTGACTTGAGCCCACTCACTCTTCAGCATTCTCAAGAAATAAGCATCCTCCTCAGCGGTCTCGGTGTTTCGGAAGGTGCCGAAAACTACCATGTCCCTGAGAGGGTGTGAGGCACACACCTGCTGTGCCCCTGGCAAAGGCAGGAGAGGTGACTCCCTCACCTCTGCCCACCACCCCTGTCCCGGCTTCTCGGCCTGAGCATCCATCCCAACCTCTTCCTCTTCGTTCCCAGGTCCAGCGCGTGCCAGCTCAGGCCTCCCTTCCTTGCAACCCTCAAATCTGCTGCCGAAGCTCTCACAGGAGATCTGTGTTGTTACATCAAGAGTGTAGTTTCTTCATTTAAGTTTTCAGCTTTCTCCCGCTGTCATCCACCCTACGGTTTCCAGCCTGCACACGTTTACCAGGTACATTGAGTCTAGCCTGATGCTTGTGCTTTACAGATGGGCGAAGAAGCCAAGAGGGAACAAAAGATCTGGTTGTGATCAAAGTCGCAGCAGGGCTAAGACGGGGACCCTCTCTGCCAGATCATGCTCATCTCTCTGCCCTCCCCTTACCCCACACTACTAGGCTCTTGGGCCTTGCGGGAAGAAGTTACTGTTCATCTATGTTTTGTCCTCACCAAAAAGAAAAAGTGGTTTCTGTGAAAACAGTCGCTGAAACAAACTCCTATGTGTGAATCCAAGATATCCGAGGCTGACTGCCTCTCTGCACAGCCTGGACTGTGGTGGCAGTCCCGGCTCATTCTCCTCTGCTGGTCGGTGTCACGGCACAGACGTGTAGAATTTGGCTCTACATCCAATTAACTTAGGTCGCACATAGCCCATTCCGCCACATCCAGTTTCTCCTCATTTCTATATCTGAAATTCTGTAACCCGACATTTGTACATACATGGATATATGGGTATGTGTGTATATCTTCGCATCTTAATCGTAATAATGCCAAGTAGAGGATAAAGACAAAGGAAAAAAAAGGCCCCAATTAATATTGGGCAGAAAATAAGATGAAAAATAGAATTAAAAAACTTTCAAAAATGAAAGTTTTGAGTCTGTAGCTATTAGTTTTCATTGTCATTTTCTGCCTTAATGAATAATAAATTTTACAGAAGCAGCCAAAAAAAATAACAAAATGCATATAAAGCCACAGGTTCTTAAAAACCAAAGGTGCTCTTTCGGTCTCCGTGTAATTGGGCTCACTGGCCATTGTCAATGAGGAAATCAGCTTGTCCAAAAATGCCTGTTCCGATGGTAAAGAAGTCAAGAACATTCCAAAGGAAACATTCACCACCATTTCAAAGGCAGCCAATAGTTAGGGGGAAAGGGTTTTATTGGAAATTTTAAAATAAGTTATTTTCTGGGTGCTTTAAAAGAGTAATCTACTGCAAGGGATTGTCATATTTCATTTCCATGCAAACACATATGAAGAGGAAGTGACACAAGGAGACAGACAAATCTGACGGGCACAGTTTGGTAAAAACTGGCACTGTGCTGCTTGCAGTGTGTCTCGAAAGAGGAACTAATGGAAGAAGAAAAGCAGAAACCAACAAAATTGAGCAGTGAGAGAAAAGGGAATGCATCCTAAAAAAGGCGCTATCAGGAATTTGTAAGGAATTTCGATAAAGGAGTCAGAATTTGGCTTTTGGAAGGAAAATCACCATGGGCACCTCTGTGGAGTATGGCCCGTGGACAACACCATACCTCCAACACTGCTACCTCCTGGCCATTGCGAAGCAGCCGGAACGTCAGGGGGTGTTTGGAGTCCAAGCCTGGGATCACCTCACAGCCACGGAGAGGGATAGAGGCAATGTGGGTCTTCAGGTCCGTCCTGTCCTTGTGGAAAACGAGCTTGTTATCCTTCACTCTGCACCAACGCTCCCGCCAGCGGTTGTTGGAGAGCACGTTCAGATAGCCTGCAGGGGGACAAACGTCAGCCTTCAACCTCCGAAGACAGGAAAGGTGTGGTGACGACGCTGAGGCTCTCCCTGAAGAAGCCTGGGCAAGGGAGCATGTATGAGAGAAATCCCACACACAGCAAAGTTTCAAATGCAAATTCACATAAACAAGATATATATAATTTCCAAACGAGTTTTGGGGGCTTTTCATAACACAACATAGACCATACTCAGAACCTCCTAATTTAACATGTGCTAAGAACACATGCCTGACGTCGATGTGGGGATCCAGAATTCACACACAGAATGCGAAGTCACGAAGCCATGAGTCCCGGATGGCCAGAGGGAAAGGGGCGTAACAGCTGCCTTCGAACAACTGGACAAGGGTTCAGGTTTATTCTGATTAGCTGCAAATGACACAAGTAGGGCAAAAGCCACCGCAAGGCAGATTTTGGCTTAACGTGATAAAAAAACTACCTAAAAATGAAAACTTTGCAAGAAATAGGTGGCCCTGAGAGGTGATAAGTTCTCCAGTGCTGGAAGTGTTGGAAGGTCTTTGGGATGGGATTCCTAGCCGGAGGCTGAAGATGTGCCCAGTGGCTTTTCTGTCCCTGAAACGTCTGGCTGACGAAGCCGGCTCAAATGAAATTGAAACTTGAGTCCAAAAGTACATGAAATTTTGCTACTGATACCTCTGGTATGGTATGATATCTTCAGTATATCACAGATAGACAGATAGCCATATATGATGGAATTACAGGAAGAATTATTATCTTCATTTTAAAAAAAGGGTATCTCCTCAAATACAGGAAATGGACAATTTTCAGTTGTTATAAACACAAAATGCATTTTTCTGGAAATAACAAGGCATGAAAAATAGATATCACAGGGTGGCTGTAACTTCCAACCACTCTGTCATGCTAGTAAATTAGTGGCCCTCCTTTAAGATTTAGAAAGTGAGTTAAATAGCACATAAGATATTGACTAACAGGCTAAAAAGAAAAAAAACAATGATTCCTGACTTAAGTCATTCAGCTACTAGTTCAATTCATGCACATACACATGCATGTACACACACATACCCCTGGCTTAAAAATGTTAAGAAACAAAATACACCCTTTCCAATTTTGATTTTTAAAAATGTCTTTCCGAAAGGGTTTTAGAAGATTTCTCCTTGTTTTATTGTTCTAAGTCTTATAAACCTTATTAGCAATGGATAAACACTAAAAAGACAAAAAAAAAAAAAAAAAAGAAATATGTTCAGGTCCCAGAATGATGCTTTGCATTATATGTTACTTATATTTGCTTAGTCAATTTACTAGGTACACACAAAGTTTCAATTCTCATCTGGCTGAATGTGACATCATTTCCACTAACACACCCTAAACAAAAGCACACACTGCTTCTCTGGGAACTAACACTTGCACCGGGGCTAAACAGAGAAGCCAGCCCGTTGGCTCACGGGCCTGTGGCTTGGCTGCCCTCTTGTGTTCAGACAAGTTAAACTGGATCAAAGCCCCTAGTTATTCTGTACATTTGTGTGGGGGTTGGGGGGCGGGGAGGCTCCAGAATCGAAGCTGGAAAGTGTCTCAGGGGATTCACTTTATGAAGGAGGAAGTTCACCCCCAGATACATGAAGTGTCTTGTCTAAGGCCACAAGCAAAACTAGACCTAAAGCCCTTTGGGAGTTAAAGATGGCAGAGAAAGAGTGTTACTGTGAGTACAACTGTGGGCTTCACACTACGATTTTCATTCTGTAAAATGCTATTTGTCAATGACATAGTTCTGATATATTTATTCTTTAAAAAGAGAAAAGAAAGCTCTATTTAAAAACATAGAGTTAACTATAATATCTGAACATCTGAGCAATGGCTATTAGAACTATTTGCTACCTATAACTCTGACGCCATCTATAAGTAATCAATCATGCTGAAAGCCCACTTTTGTGGACTTTTCTACAATGACGGCCAACTACATCAATCCTAAGTATTTTATGAGCATGAGTCGACAAACATCATGGAACATCGAAAAGGAAATGAAAGGCAAGAAATCCTCTCTAGTAACTTAATCATAAGGTTAGCATTCCCCAGAAATGATTTCTAAAAAGAAGCAGTAAGCGGTAGGGTAGTGTTGGACATCACAGCTAATGCAGCCAGCTTGGGAAATGGCAGGTGATCTGGAATGGTCAGGGCCAAGGTGTCCCTCTGCTGGGCCTGGAGAAGCAGCAGAAGAAGCTGAGACCTGAAACCCCAGTGACCTCGAGGACAGAGAAGGCTGGACACCAGTCGTAGGAGCCTGGCCTCGACGCAGAAGACAATGTGGAATCATGACAGGGGCAGAGAGAGGCTAACACGTGGGTTCAGGAATTTGAGCAGTAAGTAGAAGGCCGATGGCATCTCTGCCTTCTCTAAACAGTGACAGCATGCCTTCTGAACTCCACAAGACCTGCCACCCTGAGGGCTCACCCTGTGGGCACAGCTGTCTCCCACACGTGGTCCTGCTCGCAGGGGGCTCCGGTTCCTGAGTGTGCCCCAACCCAAGGGAGGAGACAGCCCTAAAGTGGGGTGTAGACTCTCACGGTATTTTCTTCCCTGGCAGAATGTGGCCCAAAGTCACCAGGTGCTATGAATTTCTTGACGTTTCAGCTATAAAAGGAATGATTACATTGGATAGATTCACATTTTATTTAGCGTGCGACTGCATATGAAAATACCATAATTTAACACCATTCAAAAAAAACTTCACCCAGGATAACAGACCTGTTTTCATCGACAGTCATCCCCACAGTCACATGTCCACAGGTGACAAATGGCCTCCCTGCAGTCCGCTGCCCCCGACTTCCATGAAAAGGGGGCCCAATGTTCCCACTTTCTGGGTGGAGGACATGGTAAGGCCAAGCAGGAAAAGGCAGAGGACCTTGTCTGAGAAATCCAGGGTCAGAGGGGGATCCTCCATACCCCTCAATATTGTCCCGGTCCAACACCCCTAGTCTAGCTGATGAAATGAGCGCTGACCTGGGCCCCAAGTCATCCCCACATCTGCCAGCAGGTGGTGCCAGAGCACAGCAGGACCAGGCGGGGCTGGGCCCTGGGCAGGAACTGGAGGCTGCGAATGTCGTGTCACAGGGCATCTCAACGACCTGCCAGCAAGGCAGCTCCATATATATTTGAATTTTTATTTTGAATCTCACTTATTGTATTAGGTGAGGGTATCATTGTGTTAAAAAAATTTGGGAATTTCAGTTTAATGTTTTGAGCTTATTTCTGCCCCGAATTCTAAAGAAAGAATCCTGTTTCTTACAACACTGTGGCAAGAGTGCACCAGGAAGTTTCATTAGAACTATAAAGTTAACTTTGTAGGTCTAGCATTAAACAAACACACAAAAAATACAGATGGAGGGGGAACAGATACAAACCCTCCGTCAGCTGTTCTGGGTATTTGGTGTCTCTGGCCTCGGTGCCAGGTGGCTCTTGAATTCAGGCAGCTGCTGAAGAGCAGGCAGGGGCAGCCTCTTAGAAGAGGGGCCAAGTTTCCATTTATTTGTTCTCTCTAGAAAGGGAAATGACAGTGTCTGCCCGAGAGGCTACTGTGCATTGGTTACATGTGGCCAAGATGCTCAACACTTGTGAGAGGCATTTTATCCCAGTGTAACGTTGCTATGTCCTAGCAAGGATTTGTTTATCATCAGCTAAGAAGAGAGGGCCTGCAAAAGGGCATCCAAGCGGCAGTATTTGGAGATGCCACATGTCAAGATGCTGCCAGCAGCTGGTCACGGCCCTGCCAGTGCCAACGCCCCCCTTGCCATCCTGCAACGTGTCCTCTACTTGGCACAGGGGCCGACGCGCTTGCACACCAACTCCCCCAGCATGGAGGCCCTGGTACTAAGAATGCTGTCCTCCCCTTAGGTCAAACATCATGCGAAGTTTTGTGAAGGTGGATTATGACACAAAGTGGGAAGTATATAATTTCCTGTATGTCTACTAAAAGATCCTGTCATCGAAAGCTTCATAAAGTCACCGAACTTTATGGCTGGAAGGGACCTAGAAATATCCAGTAGGTCCTTCAGAGTCAGCTCAGGCTACCTGGACTCCACGAAGCCCCGTCCTGGCACTTTGGGATCGTTCCTTTTTTCCAACTTCTGTATTTATCAACAACTCATCTGACATTGTGTGTCTGTTGCCTTGGGTAGGTCTGGTATGCTTAGGTTTTTTGTTTTATTTTTTTAAAATAAAAAGCATGTCAGATGAACTAATGGATAACAGTGATCATTTACTGAGTATAAATTATGGGCTAGGCATTAAGCTCAGTGTTTCATGTATTTTACCCTCAATTTTTATGAAAGCCAAGAAATTTTAAGTATTGAGCCCATTTCATGGATGAGGAAGCTGAGGCTCCCAGAGGTTAAGCATCTGCTTAAGGAAATCTATGCATTCGCCAAGTATTCACGGAGTTGCTATATCTGCCAGACTCTGTGCTGGGTGCTGTGGACACAACAGGTGAGCAAATCAGACCTGGTTCTTAATCTAGTAATGTAGGAGAAATTGGAAAAGTCAAGTGGAGACAAGATTGTCAGAGGCCCTGAACTGGGCAACAGTGGAAACATTTTTGGTTTTTCAGCATGGATTGATGTGATTGGTCTACAGTTTCAAAGATTCCATCAGGTGGCCTAGAGGAAACAGAACAGAACAGGGTGGGCTGGTCAAGGGACAGGTGTAACAGCCAAACCCCAGAGGGAGATAGGGATAGGGAAGGGAGGAAAAGATGGAAACACATTTCCTGACAACAATAGCTTAATTCACAAAGTGACAGGAATGCCAGGACGTGCAAGCCCAGGAAAAGGGCAAATAAAAGGTCCTTTTTGGGTAGGGGACTTTGCACACATCTCAGATCATATTGTCTAGATGCCAATGTGTTAAGCTAAATGTATCTCTCAACAGGCCTAGCAAGAGGTACAAGATGTCAGGCAGCAACAACTGGTGCTGTAGGTGCTGTTAGAGGGGGTTGGCCCACTCAGCCAGGCTGTGGTCCTCACACACCCTCCCGAACCTGGGAGAGCATCCGCAGGGAGCCTCCTCCCCCGTCTCCATGAGGAAGGCCCCTCCAGCACCTTAGTCCAGCATTCAGGGGCACAGCTGATCAGGCTGCACTGCACAGTGGAGCTGGGATTCGAACTCTGCTCTCAATCGCTCCCAGGGAGCTCTGCTCAAGGGCACTGCACTTCCGGCCAGTTCAGCTCAGCACTTCATCTCCCCAGAGCAGCAGCTGCAGAGACTCAACTTGGCAGGATTGGTCTCTTGGGCCTTTATCCAGCTACTTTGTTCTGCCTGGAACTTTGTTTGCAGCTGTGCTAAAATAGCTGAATATAGTCACTGTTCCCCCTTTGCTTTTCTAAAGACTCCTCCCCTTTCCCCTTGCCCCAGTAAAGAATTAGACAACAGTTTTAAAATCTTGTGGACAGAACATATTCTCGTAACAGAGGTAAGAGGTGTCCACCAAGCAGTTTGACAGAAATCCTCATGTATGATTAGATGCTGCAGATACACTATGCCTGCTCTCTGGGTAAGCTACCGTACTTCCAAGAAAGTGCCTGACAACAGGGTTCACTGCAGTGTCTAATCACCAACACAATAAACCTGTTTTTTAGGAGTCATGGAAGTGGTAAGTTCCTTCTGAGAAGAGGGATGTGGAGACCATGTGTGCATCAGGCCAGGCTGGCTTGCTCTCAGCTGGCTGTGTGGCTCAGGGCAAGTCATGCAACCTAATGGGCTCAGTGTTCTCCTCTGTGAAAAGAAGGATTTGGACCACAGGCTCTGAGTTGCCTGCCATATTAATATTTCATTGCTTTTCATGGAAGAATTTCTATTTCTTCCACTGACCTAGAGCAACTTATAAAACAAAACTAAAAGAATAGTTCACTTTTTGTTGGACAGGTCCCTCTTTCCCTCTGTAACCCTGGCTCCAATCTTATCTCAAGGGCTGACGTAAGGGGGGACAGTCCTGCCCCGCCATGTGCTCCAGGAAGGCTGAGGTCAACAGGGACCCACGCAGAGGCACCAACACACCCGCTTTCCCCTTCTGTGCTACTGCTGCTTCCTCTGACTGAACTTCAGCAAGGCAGCTGCCCTCTCAGTTCCCGCCTTATGTTTAGGGAGGAAACACAGGGTGGTAGAAAGAGTATCAGTATCTACTGGCCTGCTTCTGTGATCCAACTGTCCCCCGGCCAGGCTCAGGGACCTTGGGACGCACCAGGCTCCAAGGTAATGGGTGTCATAAGCCTTCCCTCCTAACTCGCCCCCACAGTGGGACCCCTCCACGAGGATGTCTGCCTGAACAACTTGACTGTGTCCACTAGGAATCGGTATTACGCAACACAACGTCCTAGAACCACACTGTGAAGGGTAGAAGCAAACAAGGATTTACCCTGCCTGCCCTCAAGTACAGGGTGTCTCAGCTCCACCCCTCTCCCCGCCTCACGGGCTCATGCTTTGTATTTTCCTTTTGGCCTGAGCTCTCAATGCCGAGGGGCATGATATCTGTTGAATAAATTTGTCTTTGTGTTTAGGCATTCTTGGGCAGGAACTAAATGATGTATCTTTTGGCATGCCCAAAATAAGACCCAAAACCTGGGACATAATGGATGTGCAATAGGGTGGGCTGTGGGGACAGGATGACTATGTAGATCAAAGGGGTTATGGATTCACAGTGAACAGAAGCTGCACGCACAGCAATAGCACGTGAGGAAGCTGGGCGCGGTGGCTCACACCTGTGACCTCAGCACTTTGGGAGGCCAAGGTGGGAGGATCGCTTGAGCCCAGGAGTTCAAGACTGCAGTGAGCTATGATTGCACCACTGTACTCCAGCCTGGGTGACAGATCAAGACCCTGTCTCAAAAAAATGAATTAATTAAAATAAATAGTATATAAGGAAAATTATAGCCCATTCTTAATTTTTTTTAAAAAGGTAAATATCCATCTTTCAGCTTACAAAATTTTCCTCCTTAAAAGGTCTGCATGGTTCTTCTAAACTTGGTTGCCTAGAAAATGCTCACCCACTTCTTCATAGAGGCTGCCCTGACTGCTGTACCCCCATTCCTAAGGGAATGAGAGGTTCCTAATACTCTCGTTGCCTCTTGTGTTTTCCCCTCATATTACTGCCCAGAGCTGGTTACTGCAAGTTTATTTCTGTGCTTACGTGTTTTGGACTTTCCTTCTGCTACCAGACTGGATGTCATGGGAGGGCAGGGCTGTTTTGGTCCCCAGGGAACACCACGTGCTTATTAACATAGTCCCTGACCAACAGTAGCTGCTCAGACAGTACTGGCTGGATAGAAGCTGACTAGGGAGATGGCCAGTCATGAGATTGGATTTGAAATGTAAGTTTGAGGATGGTAACATTATAAGAGAGTTTAGTTTTATTACTTTAGCCCAAGGGAAAGAGTTGAGCTTAACTCCATGAAGGTTTCCCGTACTTTGTACTCCTTCCTCTGTTTACCAATGGCAGGTGCACATGTTCCAGTTTAAAAACACTTCAAAGGAATTTGGGAGAACTTCACAGGATCAAAGAGAAAAAAATTTTTTTTTATCTTGAAAGAACCTTAGAGATCATCTCAAACCCCTACAAGGTCTTTTACTAATACGAGGTAAACGTGGAAATTTAATACATTTCCTGCAATTGGAATGATCGCACAAGTCCAGCGCTCAAGGTAGTGAACCTTAGCTGAACCCTAGACAGACGCAGCCCCAGGAGAGAAGAAAAACACTGGGTGGACACAGTCATCTCCGGTGAATGTTCGTCTTACCACAAGTGGGAACGTCCTCCTCGGCTGAGGAGGTCTGCTCGTCTGTGGATGGCTTTTTCTTTCCCAGACCAATAATCTTGGTGATTTTTTTCCCGGTGACTTTAGACACGGTTCCCTTGGTCTCTGATTTGGAACTTTTCTTCCTCTTCACTGTCAAGAATGACAATAACAAAAAAGCATGTTTTAATTGTAGATGTTAACTGAAAAAAAAAATAAAAATAAAGCATAAGTCACAACCTATTTCTTCTTTCCCTTAACTTCTACCTACCGAGTACCTCAAGTACCTGCCAGTGTGGGCTGTCGACCCAGACACTGGGGGTCCCAGCAGAGAACAGGGCTGCTCCCAGGAAGCTGATGTTCTAGAGCGGGCTGAGAACACACACCCTGGCACGCGCCTGCATTCACACACATGAAGTACGTCGAACCGTGCAAGGACCCCACGGAGATCCAAACCAGGGTGATGTGGGAGAGCGGCCGGCAGGTAGAGAAAGCCCTCCCAGGGCTGATGTTAAGCTGAGAGCTAAATTAACAAGGAGCCAGCCGTGCACCTCCGAGGGGGAAGAAGTGTTCAGGCAAGAACATCGGCTGTCACAAAAGCTGTCATGCTGGAAAAAGCCCGAAGTGTCTGAGGAACAGAAAGAAGCCAGTGCGGCTACAGCCTGGCTGGCAACAGCAGGGTCCCAGGGAGGGGAAGGCAGAAGGGGGAACTCGGTCTCCCTCAGAAGCTCCCTCACCCACCTGTCAGACACTCATTGGATCCTGCCCTCCCCGGGGCTATCAGGCCAGCGACCTGCATGCCAGCCCTTTATGCTGTGTAGCCTGGACAATGCTGAATCAGGAATTAACTGTCAGTATACAAAACTTATAAGCATTTTGCATAAAAATGATTCTGGCTTCCCTTGAAAAAGTGGAAGATCTGGCAGCTCTGAACTACATTTGGGAACAGCAGCAGGAGCAGAACAGCAGTGTCTGCACAGATGGGCCACCGAACCACAACTCAGGCCAGCTCTGGTCACTCCCCACCGTCCCCCACCACAGAGGCCCAGGGCCCGCTGCCACCGCACCCTGCATCTGCCCCACTGGTCACTGGCACTCTCCCTCCAACCCCACGGGCAGAATTACAGGGATGTACACGTGAGCAGGCACCCAAAACTGAGTGCGCCAAGATCCCTCCAGCCAGAGAGCTACTGTCAGGACGTTCGGGAGAAGGGGACTGGGATCCAAGACAAAAACACCATCCCCCGGACCCTTTCCTTTCGTCTCAACCTTCTGTCTGCAACTTTCTGGAAATCACAAACCCTCAGAAGGTAAGAAAAGACAAGGATTCCTACCCTGCCCCTGCCCATGTGAACAAATGAGCGTGCACACAAAGCCACACAGAGTAACTTCAGAGAAAGAGCATCTGGGGACACGGCATGATAAGCTACTGGCCTAATTCCTACATCTTCCCTAAGCACGTACACACTCACACACACACTTCCCTCATCTTCCTCTTTCCGTCTGTCTCTGTGGGGGTGGGGGAGTAGCCCTGCGCCCATCTCCACTCTGCACCCCTGCCACGACCAGACGGATGATGGCACAGATACCAACGTCCGTGTCTCCCGTCTCCTGCCCGGCCTTCCATTCCACGCCCTCCCTGCAGGGCTCTAATCCCACGGGATTAGTGCCCTTCTAAGAAGAGACTGCACATACACGACAGACAGACCACGCAAAGGCCAGGTGAGAAGGCGGCGGCTGCCTGCCAGCCAGGAAGAGAGCCCTCATCAGACACCACCCTGATGGTGCCTTGACCTTGGACTTCCAGGCTCCAGAACTGTGAGAAAATAACTTTTTGTTGTTTCAGCCACCCGGCCTGCGGTATTTTGTTATGGCAGCCCGAGTTGACCAATATGACACAGTCTCAGCATTTTGTGTTAGTTTAAACAAATCAGATTAAGGCCTCATGCGATATGAGAAACAAAGGACAGAGGAATGCCGCCCTGCCCTCCTCCTTCTCCCCCAATATGCACACACACTCTTTTAAAACAGAGCACCGAGAATCTGTTTTAGTCCCATAGTCTGAAGGCACAGCTCCCCAGCTAACACCAGACAGAGGGGTCTGCAGTTGGCACAGCTGTGGCGTTTTGGCTTCAGTCCAACCAAACCAAGACAGAAAGCAACAGTGGATGCCCCCCAGCGGCTTGAGAGGCCAGAGAGCGACCTCCACCCCACCCCTCGCAGTGGAGCTGCCCACAGAAGGCACCGCTGGCTGGGACAGTGGGAGTGCCTGGGCACCCGTGGAAGGCCTGGGGCATGAGCACAAGGCAACCGCCACAGATGGGGCATTCATCACATCACGCTGGGGTTTTGATTTACTCCCAGTTAGACTGAGACTGGCTCCTGCTGGCAAAGGGCTTGCTGGACGCTGACTACAAAGAAATGAGATAATAATTAATACCTGCAATTCCTTAAATATGCCCTGAAGAATTTTTTGCAAAAGCGTAAGTTAGGTAATCCTTGGAAGAAAAAGTCAAAGCATGTAAAAACATAAGGAAAAAACCATCAAGAATATCTTGATGCTATTTATCAAACAAAAGGCAGAAATTAGCACTTACAACAGAATTCTGAAAAGAAACAAAAAACTCAGAATGCTCAACCCGCTGCAGTTAGAGCAGGAGAGCTGGCGAGTCCAGGCGGCATGCGCTGTCCACTCGCGATGGAGACGGGCGGGCTGGGGACACAGACCACTGGAGCGTGGCCAGCACTGAGCATCCTTAAGGCCATGACTACCACAGGCCCAGTTTCCTGTCATCCTACAGAGAAGGGAATCTAGATGCTTTTGTTAGATGGGTGGGAGGGATGGGGATTAACATAATCAGACCATTTACTCAGTGATTCTCCCAACAACCCATGAACAAATGATTACACCTTAAAGACATGAAACTCTGGTTAGTGGCTGTCACGGCCTCTGTGTGGACTGGCACCAGGACCTCAATTCTCGTTCCTCACATCAGCTGCAGTATCACCAGGATGTTTACTATTCACCCAAATCACACTGCATCCGCTTATTAAACACTAGGGATTCCCCCTTGAAAGAAGAAATAGGAGCTTGTGAGTCGCTCCCTATGGCTTTGACCACATGGAGTCTGGACTGTTTCTATCTTCAGCTGAGATCCTAACACTTAGAGAAAGCTGTACGAGTTCAGGATTTTCTCTATGCAGCGAGCAGAGAAATTTGACTGAGTCACAACGTGGCTGGGATAAAAAGAGTTTAACTGAAATCTCTCAACAGCAAGAGTGAGCAGCAAGAATAAAAGCCGAGATAGGTTAGAATGTATTTAAACCTTTAACTTCCTTCGTTAACTATTTATCCAGTATCCACTATATGCAAAGCCCAGCAAAAAGAAGATGTCTGAACCAAGGTCATTTTTTAATTCCAAAGTATAGAAAGTTGTTCTTGTTAAAAGGAAACAAGAGCATTTTAAGCATAGACATACCCACTCACATGTACATCCAGACATCCATCTTATTCTGAAGAACCTAATTTTACATAGGTACATTGGGAGAAGAAATAGCAAACAAGAAGACAGTTCAACCAAACCAATGTTTACGATGCCTCAACTTCTATGCAAAAACATTGAGATTGTACGTTATTTCAGGGCAAAACTTAAAGATAGCTTTCCTGGTTTTGATTACACGTAATGGGTGCCTTGTGGAAGACACAGATAATACCTTCCACTGAATAACTTCCGACAGTCAAAACTAAAATTACACTCAGATAGAACTGACTTAGAAAACCACATATGAAAAAAGCAGAGATTGTGACCTTTGAGAGTGAACCTATGTCATAACAGTCCAGATTGAGTTCCAAAGTTCTTAATGGCTTACACTGATACTTGGTTTAAGGTGACTTCATCACAGAGATAGGAAACACTTGCTTCACTCTAGCAATAAAGGGCAGGTGGGCTCAGGTGGGCAGATTGTTCGCCGGCGCAGCTGAGGTCACAGGTTCAATGAACACACAGGCAGTTTGGCTTTGCTCAGGGAAAACTGCTCCACTATCCACAAATCACATCCCTCACTGCAGTCCACATGGACTGGGAGAAGATGTGTGCAAAACACAACTGATAAAGGACTTGTATTCAGAATATACAAAGAACTCTCAAAATTCAATATTAACAATCCAATAAAAATATGGGCAAAAGATCCGAACAGACATTTCACCAAAGAAGATACACCGATGGCATATAATCACATTAAAAATGTTCAACATTGTCAGTCATTAGAGAAATGCAAATTAAAACCACAATTACATACCATTACACACCTATTAAAGTGGCTAAAGTAAAAAGAACAAAACAAAACAAAAATGACAATACCGAGGCTGGTGAGAATGCACATGACCAAGCAGTACCACTCCTAGGTATTCACTCAAGAGAAATGAAAACATATGTCCACGCAAAAGCCTGTCTCTGAAAGTCTAGAATAGATTTTTAAACAGCTGCTCCAAAGCGGAAACAGCCCAAATGGCCTTCAGTCAGCGGGTGGATAAACTTGCAGTGGCAATCTACACAAAGGAGCACTGCCGGCAACAGAAAAGAGCAAACTGCTGATACTGTCACACACGGGTGAGTCACAGCACTATGAGAAGGAAGCCAGACTCAGCAGTCCACACTCATCATCCCCTCCTGTAACAGCGCTCTGGTAAAGGCAGATAGCCGCCCAGGGGCTGCCAGGGCCTGGAGAACAGGCACAGGTGATACAAAGGGGCACAAGGGGGCTCTTGGGTGACAGAAATGTTCTGTATCTTCATCGTGGTGATGGTTGCATGACTGCGTTTGTCAAAACTCACAAAACTGTATGCCGACAAAAGGTGAATTTTACTGTATGTAATTTGCCCCTCTATAAAGCTGAGTTTAAAACAGTAAGAGACTTCTGTGTGTGCACACCCATGTTCACAGCAGCACTGTGCACACTAGCCAAAAGGCAGAAGCAACCCAAGTATCTACTGCCAGGTGCACGGATAAACAAAATGTGGTATATGCACAGAATGGAATATTATCCAGACTTACAAAGGAAGGAAATTCTGACACACACTACAGCATGGATGAACCCTGAGGACATTATGCTAAGTGAAATTAGCCAGTCACAGAGGAACAAATCCTGTAGGATTGCTCTTGTGAGGTATTTAGTGTTGTCAGAGCCATAGATACAGGAAGTAGAATGTGGGTACCAGGCGCTAGGGGAGGGGATGGGGAATTAATGTCTCATGGGGACAGAACTTCAGTTTTACAAAATGAAAAGAGTTCTGGAGATGATGGTGGTGACGAGAGTATGACAGTATACATGTATTATAACAATACTAATACACTGAACTGGACACTTAAAATGGTTAATATGGTAAATTTTATATTATGTATATTTTATCACAGTTTTAAAAAATGTTAAATGTAGGCAAAATAAAGACATTTTCAGTAAATCTTAGAAAAGACTTCAGGCTGGGTGTGGTGGCTCATGCCTGTAATCCTAGCAATTTGGGAGGCCAAGGCAGGAGGACTGCTTGAGCCTAGGAGTTTGAGACCAATCTGGGCAATAGCAAAACCTCACTTCTACAAAAAATTTAAAAAAATAAAAAAATAGCTGGGCATGGTGGCACATGCCTGTAGTCCCAGCTACTCAGGAGGCTGAGGCATGAGGATTGCTGAAGCCCAGGAGTTTGAGGTTGTAGTGAGCTGTGATGATGCCACTGCACTGTAGCCAGGGTGACAGAGCAAGACCCAGTCTCAAAAAAAAAAAAGAAAGAACAGACAAGACTTCAGAAATCTGCAAGTCTGGCTTCCTCATTTTAAAGATGGTGAAACAGAGGCTCATCAAGAGGGAAAATGGAAAATTTGCTCAAGATCATGTGGCTAAGCAAAGGCAGAGTTCAAAGGGGAATGTGGGTTCCTATCTCATTACCCAAAGCTCTTTTCACTGGAAGTCAGGTCTCTAAGCCAGATGCCAGCTGTCGGTGATAAATCAAGTGAGGAAGTTACCTGCTGTGAGTCATATATGTGAAATACATGCAGGCACATATACAGACAATAGGAAACCACCTGGGCCAAGGCTGGGCAGGATGGAAAAGGAAGATCCACAGGCTGATGTTAACCGAAGGATTTTCCCGCATTCCTATCAGTGTCATCTACCATGATGACATCCACACAACTGGGTCACCCAGGACATCTTCACATAATCAGACTTTACAGACCTGGCTGTAATATTTTTTTTTTTTTTTTTTTTTAGTTTATTTATTTTTGGCACATGCAGAACTCACCTTGCTCTTTTCCATTACACATAGTAATTCCGTTTTCTATAACACCCTCCCCATCTGAGCTGGGTCTCTCTGAAGATAGTTTCTGTAGAACAGAAAGGGTTAAATTATTCTTACAATGGCCACACTGGCCAAGCGCTGTGTAAAAGTTAAAAGTTATCTCAAAGAGAAAGAAAGTGTGGACCAAATTCACAACAATTAAGTAGTCAGGGCTTACGTGTAACAAACACTAGCTGGTTAGGTTGCTACGAAAGCTTTACAAACATCCAAAAATACAAAGAAAAAACTCACGGAGGTTATATTATACTAACACACATATTGTACCATGCCTATTTCATTCAAATCTCCTTTTCTTGTAAATAAGTTTGAAAAATATTAAGATTATAAAACATATCCCCCCACCACGCATATTATCCTGCAGAAATAAAAATCCCATTGTCCATTTAATTTCTTCCTGCCATTCACCAATAATTGGGTGTCACGTATTTGCTTGTAACAGAAAAACTCAGAACATACAAGAGAGACAAGGACAGTACCAAAACCCTGCAGGGGGAGAGAACACTTGTCATTATTTCAGTCCCGATATTTGGGTTTCATGGGCATAATTAGGATTCCATGTTAGGATCTGAGTGAGACACAGCATTTACAGTTGGACTCCTCCCACTCCTGCCCAAGGACCTGTGGGGTCACAGTGGGGGAGCGGCCTCCATATGCCCTCCTCAGACCCTCCAATTATGCCCAGTGCCTCAGACACTGGCCAGCTGGACTCAGATGAAACACGTGGATGATCCCCAGGGCACAAAGGAACGTGCATGTTTAACTCAGAACACGAGGACCAGGCAATGTTGGCCAAGGATGACAGGCAGGTGTCTGCAATCCTGCAAGACCTGCAGGAAAGAATTAGTGCCAATTGGTGGGAAGCCAAGTTGCAGAGGTCTGATGACCTAGAGCCAGCACTGCCCTGGCTCTCACGCCAGGAAGCATCCGTGGGATCCAGGGCAGCAGGCCTGGCCAGGCGCTAACAGTACCACCTCAGAAAGAGAAGCAAAGGACGATCTCCAATTCCGACATGAGTGTGTGAAAGAGGAACTTGGAGGCACCGTGATGGGAAACAAAACTGGACCAACCTTTTGGGAAAGCAATTTGATTAGCAACATGAACCAAAATCTTCAAAAAGAAAAAACTTCTTATCCTTTGGTCTCATAATTCAGCTTTCAGGAGTCTACTCTCAGGTAATGGACACAGAAGCAGTAAAGATTTATGCAAAAGATGTCAAGTACTATTTTATTTATATGGCCTAAAAAAGAAAAAAAACCAGCCTAATTCAGGGGAGGGAATATTTATATAAGTGATAGTAGAGTCATACAAATTTGATATTAAGCTGATGAAAATGCAAAAATGCTTGTTGTTTGTTATGGGTTTTTTAAAACCTGGAAAACTGCTAATAATATAAAGGTAAGTGAAAAAAAGCAGTATAAGAAATTTTATGCATAAGCTTACCCAAACTGTAAAAGCTGTTCCTTTTATCCCCCTGCCAGCGAACAGATACTTTTTTTGTCTATCCTTGCATTGTCAGTGTTCTCCAGAGGAACAGAACTGATGGGATGTGCATATGGAGAAAGAGCTCCATTACAAGGAATTAGCTCACACGATTATGGAGGATACAAGGAAAAAAGTGGTTAGAAATTCAGAGACTGTTAAAAGGAGCTGCCTCCTCTATGTAGTGGACTTATAAGTGACTTTTTCTATCTATTTACATTTCTCTGAACTTTCTGAATTTTCCACAGTGGAGCAGGTATTGGTTTTATAGTTAGGAAAGGAAGGGCTGTTCTATCACAATATCAGGATGAGGATTGTGATGGTTACTTTTATGTGTCAACTAGGAGGGTGCTTCTGGATGAGACTGACATTTAAATCAGTGAACTCTGAGTTCACTGCCCTCCCTAGTGTGGGTGGGCCTCATTCAATCAGTTGAAGGCCTGAGTGGAACAAAAACACTGGCCTCCCCATACAAGAGGGGATGCTCCAGCAGACTGCCCTCAGACCTCATGTGCACCATCAGCTCCTCCGGGTCTCTGCCTGCCAGCCCACACTGCAGATTGGGGACTTGCACCCTCCATCACCGTGTGAGCCAATTCCTCATAATAGATCTCTTTCTACGTAGATACACATCTCATCGACTCTTTTCCTCTGGAGAACCCTGACTAATACAAGGACAGACAAAAAACTGTCTGTTTGTGGGCAGGGGATAAAGGTAGACAGCTCAGAAAGCTCCTGGGACACAAGCTACTGGCAGAAGATCTCATGGCAGGAAGCCAGGGGTCTCCAAGGAAATGGCCTCAGTCACATGCAGACAGATGAAGTACAATCAGAGCAGGGCGTGTGCCCAACAGTGATGGCTTCTGCACATTTCTGGCAAGAAGGGGTGTCCAGCTGACAGGCCACCCCCCAACCACTATGCTCTTCTTCTGCCTTTCGATAAGCAAAATGAGTACACTGTAGAGGGGGCAGGGGGTGTCTCCTGGTCTGTTAGGAATAAGCCTTTGGAAGGTACATTTATGAAGCACCTACTGTATCCCAGAAGTAGACAGACTTGGATTCAGATATCAATCTTGCAATTCAATAGCTTTGTGACTTTGAACAATGCCCTTCACACCTTTAATCCATTTCTTCATCCACAGCTGGAAATAATTACTACGCAGTCTGTGAAATGACTTACTTAAGCTTAGTACAAACTCAGAAGTTAAAATGGATGGGAAGCAGAACTGCATTTTTTCTTTTTTTTTTTTTCCACCTGGAAGTGCTGAAATTCTCAGAGAATGTTATTAAAACTTTGAGGGAGACCTAAATCAACTGCAAAGTTAGTATTCCTGGAAAGAACAATGCCCTTACCTTCTCTAGTTCTGCCTTGTGCACCGGGGAGCTTGGTGGAGGAGGGCATTCTGAATCCACAGGCCCACTACTGCCGTTGTAGGCTTCTTTGATCACCTATGAAAAGCACAGACATCTTTTGAGCGTGCCCAAAGGCAAAGACGCTTAAACTAGGGCTCCCACGAGGTGCGCAGACGGAGGCATATGGTGTGGCAGGGAAATGCATAGGATCAAATGCACCCGGGTTGGAGTTCCAGGATGCCAGGTGTTCATCTGTTCACTTACTCTCTCAGTCATTCACCAAATGTCTGCCCAATGCTGGGACTGACATAGATGAACAATGCATTTGAGGTTCCTGCTCACATAGAGTTTCAATCCATGTCATTTAAGTATCACCATAAATAATAGGTGACACCAAAAACATGTAGGGAACGTAAGACAGCAGTAAGTGCTACAAAGAATAAAAGATGGTGTTTTAAGAAAATGGTGGGTGGCTACTTAGATCAGGAGCCCTGAGGGGGCCTTACTGGAATGACGTTTAAGGGTCCAGCCATGTGAAGAGCTGGCGGAAAAGGGTTCTAGGCAAGAGAACAGCTGGTGCAAAGGCCCTCTGGTGGGTGTGAAGTGTGTGAGGAAACCAGAGTGCCATGTGGCAGGATGGCAGGGGAGAAAGAGGCAGGAGATGAGGTGGGGGCAGCTGGCTGGAGGCAGATCATGTAGTGTCTTCGGGCCCAAGGGGGAAAGACCCAAAGAGCACTTCAAGGAGAGGGGCAGGACTCAAGAGCATGGGCACAAGGCCTCCTGCATGGGTGTAACGCTGGCTGTCACCTTGGGCAAACCAACTTTAATTTCCCGTCTGAACAGGGCAGATGCCATAGCACCTGCCTTCTGAAGAAGGCAAAATGCCTGAGACAGAGCCTAAAACACAACAAGCACTCAATTATGAGAAGGTTGTAGAAAACACTACTTGTTGTGGGAAGAGTTACACTGGAGCAGATAAGAAAGTGCAGGGAAATGAGTTAGAGGCCATCATTGCTATAGCTGTTCAGATGCAACACGGGCTGCAGCTGCTGCAGTGAAGGCAGGTACAGGAGGGGAGTCAGGACACCTGGAGGGAGGAGCGCCAGCCTTGCTGAGGGACCAGACTCGGGGCTGAGGGAAAAGAGTCAACTCCAAGGGGACTCCAGGATTTCTGTTCCTGGCAACTAGGCAGTGAAGTCTATTCAGAGGAAGACAGTGGAGAAGCAGGTGGGTGGATATGTACGTTCAAACCAGTCGCTGCTGTCACTGCTAACACCACTATTACTCTGAGCACCTTACAGCTTACGTTAAGAGCTCAGAAAACCCTTCCAGGCTAGACTTAGGGGCGCTCATGATTCTGGGCACAAGCGGCCTTCCAGGCCATCCCCTACACACAGCCACCCACTGGTCTCCTCAATCATTCCAGAGTTCATATAATGTCCAGGCGTGCATAGGCAGCAAATGAGACAGACAAGGGTCCAGTGCCTGTGACACGTTCTTGTAACTAAAAAGTTAGCAGGCACATTTTTCAAAATGTCTTCAATTCTTTTTTGGACCTAAGCTTCAATTTGAGTTAAACTCAAGCTCCTTCGGAGCAAAAAGGAAATGCCAAAGTCCTAGATATCTGAGTAGTAATTTTGCAATTTGACCTCAATAGACATATCCAAATTCACTCGGCATGCACTGGCGTTGGGATTAGAGCCAATGACCGACAAAAGACCAGGATCGTGTTTCCAGCCATTTTACTGCTCAGCTGATGTCCACTAAATAAGAAAAAAAAGAAAATGAAAGAAGAAAGCCAGAGAGCTTGGGGCAATATTTTCTCCTTGCTAATTCCAAGGTGCGGAGGCAGGACCGAAGGCGCCGCTCAGTCCAGTGACCTGTGCCTTCTAACCGTATAGATCTCTCTTCGCTTCTCTCACCTTCGTGCCGATTTCACCACTGCTTTTCTGTCTTTATTCCCTCACCTGCCCCAATGTGACTATTAAGTCTTCTATTGACAAAGCAAATTTTTACTTGATTTGAGGAGAAGACTTTGTCTTTTCTCTAGGGAAAGAGTGTTAATCAAATGGAAAACTCTCGAGTTTTTGTGGCAAATAGACCTGGGTTTAAACCCCAGTTCCACCACTTGCTCCATATGCATAGCTGAGCAGTTTGGTCTCTGAGCTTCACTTTCCCCATCAGTGACACGCACAAAATAACACCTAAGGGGGTCACAGTGGAAAAGAAATGCTAAAACACATGTTAAGTATCCAGCCCAATACTTCTCCCATAACAGGTATTAGTAAACCTAAACTCTTTTCCCATGATTATAGTGTTAAATAAACGAAAATGTCTTTCAGTTATACAAACAAAGCCGAACTTGACAAGTTCTTCATTTTACTCCATAAAACAGCCTGCACAATCCTATGATCTCTGGCAAAAGCTTTTTATTTAAAATACAGTTGTCTTCTTTCTCCTTTTCTTTTTTTTGTTAGTGGGGAAGAACCAACAAAGCACTTTGGCGGCACTACTGCAATCATCCCTGCCGGCCGCGGGGGCGCGGGGAGGGCTATGTGAGTGGTGTCTTCTGGACGAGGTGCACGAAACGGGGCATCCTTCAGAGTCAGCCCGGCCCACGTCCAGGAAGCCCTCTCTGGCCCTCCCGTGTGGTGGACACGGCACGCACATGCCCACAGACGGCCTCGTGTCCATCTGTCACAACAGTCATGCAGGTCTGTGTCTTCTGAGCCTTGCTCGTGAGGACGGAGGGGCTATGCCTTGTTTACAACAGTGACACAAAAAAGTCTGATTAAAGGGGGAAAAAGAATGAGGGGATAAAGAAATAAATTGGATTTAAGATTTTCTATGAGGAAAACAAGTGAGTGAAGGAGAAACAAAGGAAAGAAACCAGGCCATAATTAAAATAAGAAAAGCCTCATGACAAAGTTTCCCAGTCCTCAGCACTGATTTCTGAAATCCTCGGTAGGGGGGGGAAAGTGTTTGTTAAAAATAAAAAGGCAAATCAATAAAAGCCGCCAGGCATATACACATTCAAACTTCCACATCCCTCCCTAACACACTGCCCTGTTGACCTCTCAGGCGCCCTCACTCTCCTGTTCCGCCAGGGCCCGTGTGTCCAGCAGTCAGACAGGGTGGTCTAGCTGTTAGTGCTCGCACTGTCGCCTGTTTGAGAAGCTTTTCCTGATAAACCCAGCCACACAATCTGAATGCTTAGAACACTGCACATAGACAAATCATACACTCTTATTCTTCGTTATTAATTTTTCTCCCAGCTAGAAGTCAAATTCCTCCTGCAGAGTAACAGTGTTTCCAACAGTGCTTAGGAAGATGGGCACACACCAGACCAGCCCAGAGCCCGACACCAACCTGGGGCAGGGCTGGGGGTTCCTCATGGCACCATGAGATTGTTCATGCTCCCCTAGACTAAATAGTAATTATGTCCAGGGTATGAAGAAAGGCACCAGTAAAAAGATCAATCAGCATGAACCAGTCTTTATTTCCATGGATTTTTTCAACCAGTTGCAGAGATCAGGCTATTTTCATAAAACTGTCTTTCTACCCTGTCTCTATTTATTGCCAAATTGTACCTGCAGAGTTAATTCAGGAATCATAAATAAAAGGCTTATCACTCAAATCCTTTCAATAGCTACAAATGAGGGTTTATAACAATACCTTTCTATTTAGAGTCATGTTGTATGAGAGCTTCAGTATGTATTTAAGAAAACTAGATCCAAATTCGGAATCACAAATCTTCTAAAAAACAAATTGTTATATGTTTTGTGGTAGTTTTGTTTGCTTTTAACTTGAGCCCTCAACTCGAGAAACACAATCTCTGCACATTTTTTAAGGAAACCTTACCACTCCATTTCTGGGAACACTGGCTCTTGTCTTCTGTTTGACCCCTATGCAACGGCTCATGTTTTCAACATCTGTGTGCGCACACACACACACAGACACACACAGAGTCAGTTAATTTTGGCAAGAGCTGCTGGTAATGGAAGTTGCAGGCAGAAAGGAGAAACAAACTTGGCAGCAATTCTTGAAGAAATATGTGCAAAGTCATGCATTGGTTAAACACAGCCCTCGTGTTTTTCACACTTGACAAAGGGTATGTATATGTGACTTCATTAAAATATTTTTAACTGTTACACTAAAGCTGTGTTTCAAAATATCGAAAGTCTGGATCATCAGTTTTAAACAATGTGGGGTAATAGCAGTTTATATTAATAAAAGCCTTTTATGTTAATAAAACATAACTTTTACAAATAAAAGACTTAAATAATGTGGGATAATAGCAGTTCATATTATTAAAAGAATTGGCATTTGTTTTACAAAACAATTCATATGAGAGAGTTGTTAAAGCTTTTATAGGAATCCTAAAAGTGGCATTATGAATAATACCATTTATATATTACCTATATAATTTTGAAAGTATATTTATATTGTTTTTTATTCTACATCTTTGATAATTCTGGTAATTATTATTTTCATTTGATAGATAAATGGGAAAGAGTTTGTTGACCCAAAATATCATGAGTTAAATGTATTCCAGGAACATATCCTAGATTTCCAGATTCTTCACTCACTTTTCTCTCATCCTAACATACTCCGTATAGCTAAGTGGGGGTTGCTCCTTTTATGATGGTTGCTCTTTCATGTAAAAAAAAAGCACTTCAACCATAAAGATGTGGCCTGTATGAGCTGAAATAAAAAGCCATGATGATAACATTGACTTATCTCACATAAAACTATCATTACAAAGTTGTGAATCATTTTGGTTAAAAAAAGAAGAGTTAAACAAGACAGTTAAAGACTGTAATCTGCATTTGGGAGGCCGAGGTGGAGGGTCTACTTGAGGCCAGGAGTTCAAGACCAGCCTAGGAAACATAGTGACACCCTATCTCTACAAAAAATTTTGAAAATTAGCTGGGCATGGTGGTGCACCTATAATCCCCAGCTACTCAGGAGGCTGAGGCAGGAGCATCACTTGAGCGGAGGAGTTCAAGGTTAAGTGAGCTACTATCTCACCACTGTATTTCAGCCTGGGTGACAGAGTGAGACCCTGTCTCAAAAAAAAAAAAAAAAAAAAGACT